CCTGGAGAGCTGGATGCAACACTAATCTTCTGTTAAATTGTCTTCAGCATTGTTGGAAAGCATCCAGCCAAGGTAGCGTTAAGGAGGTTTGTATTTGCAAAGTTGCCTGGATGGAGCGACAGGCGCTGCCTTCTGTTGTGGAAGAGGCAGTTTGCTTCTGCGAGGGGCTTTGGGAGCAGGCTGACTGACTCAGATACAATTTTAAGAATCAGAATGCAATATGTTACTATTGAAACTTGCTTTTCTTATTTTAAATTCAAACCTTAGAATAAAAAGTTAGCTTCTGTAGTCATGAGGAGTGAAGAGCTAGGCGTGCGGTCCCAATTAATAGCTGCCTTGCTTCCTCTGCAGCAACACTGAGGCCGAGCCACCTGTTATTGGTAGGAACGATGAGAAGGTTTTTTTTTGCTGTGTTGACTATCGTAAAGTTATTTTAGGAAGTCTTACATGTTCTGTTTTTCCCTGTCAGGCTGTGAAAGCAGCAGCAGTGTCTGTGTGTGTGCAGGGAACGGGGCTGCTCAATGGCCTGTTTGTAGGGATGGCTCCATCCTGGTGAGGCTGCCTTTGGAAAAAGTGAGTCTGCTCAATGCAGGACCTTAAGTCAGTGGATGAAGTGAGGTTGTAAACTGTGTTTACATCTAAATGTTGGTTTAAAAATATCTCTGTGGTCTGTGATGCTTGCTGCTGCTCAGCCACCTTTTTATCTGTTGTGCGTTGTTTTTAACAGGCGCTGATTGAATGCATTTGCAGAGTTCTTGAGCAAATGTTTGAATGCCTTTCTGTAAGCCTCTCAAGTCTTGAGTTGTGAAAGACAAGAGAAAATAGTCTTAAAACTCTTCCTTGCACTTCTTATTCTTTTTATTTCTCCCTTCCCCCACTCCACAAAAACTTAAATAAAAAAAGTCTCCAGCGAATACACTGAAGTGCTATTAAAGGCTGCTGTGTGGAAGTGGAGGGCAGTGTTTGACATTGACCTCTTAATAATACCCATTTTGCATACATAACACCTCTGACCTCGGTTGGACCGTCTATTCAGCATGGGATTTGTGCAACTGAGAGAGAAAAGAGAGCCTGCAGCCATGAGCACTCTCATTTTTATTACAGTAATAAATGTATTGCTTCTGGAAATCTTACCTTCATAATTTAAGACCTATTGTTATTTCTTCTCTACAGGCTATCATGTTCTACCTCTGTGTCAAATAATTGGAAGTTTTGTATTCATGTATTTTATTTGTCTTCCAGACTTAAAGTAACCATTGATAATATCTTTGCTTTCTACTCAGCTCTGTTTCAGTCGTACTTTCATGTGCCTGGCTCTAAATGTATAATGAACTTGTTTTTGCAGAGCTTTGCAGATGATTGTAGATGGCCTGCATCAATCATTTTAATGTGTCCCAGGGAGGGAATGGAAATGATTATCTTTTCTGTAATTCCATGACCTGCTCTGTATTTTCTGCGTGCAAACAATAATATTAAGTGATCTCTAGCGCTAGCAGTTTGCTTTTGAGATGTAGCACGGAGTAGCAGTATCAATTTAGCATCTCCTATTAAATGGTGTGCTGGCAGTCCTTGCCGAAGATGCTAGCAGCGTTGAGTAACATTCATCTTCTCAGCCTTCCTTTGGCCAAGCCATCCAGCAGCGGGACTTGAGGCACGTGTGGGTTTGGAGGCAGGTGGGTATGGGATGGACTCTGCAACCTGCCAGCACCACCAAGGGAGATGCTTGCACCAGGGGGCTGCTTGCACTGCTGCAGCTCCCGGGGAGATGTGGCTTCCTTCCTCTGCTCAGGGCCATAAGGTGACACGCAGAACCTCACCGGAGCACTACGTGGTCTGCTCATGGGGCTGTTTGGTGCTAATCGCTTTGGTTTCTGTTAATGCAGGTAAATTGTGTGATTATGAAAGTACAGGACTGATGAAACAGCTTAATATTCTAGCCCATTACATATAGGCAGTTCACATTTATTGCATAAGTAAAATTTTCTATTAAAACAGTTATGGGAAGTTTTAATTGGTTATGGGCTGTTGTATTTCTACATTGCCAGGATTAATATAATTAATGCTGGCAAAAAAGTAGTGCACAAGTGTATGCAAAACTGCATGTACTAAGAGGAAAAAAAAATCCTCCCCTAATACGAATGCAATAGGGCAAATGCTGCAGTTGGTTTTGACTGCTAGTGGAAGGAAACTGCGGCTCCAACTTGAAATGTATTTTGCTAGTGTTAGGATTGCATTCATGAGAAAAAATAAATGAAATTTTGGGGTGGGAGGGGATTCTTGTTACCTTCTTTATCAGAAGGCTAAATACTGTGACTTTAATCAGCATAGTCCTACAGCTACATGGGCAAGTAGAAACAGACCTAAAACCCTTTTTTCTTCACTACAACCTGCTATATTATGAAAAATTCTAAAATTGCTCTGGAGTTGTGTACTGTTGGCGTATTGCTTGAGGCTTCACTACCAAAACACCTGTTCAGTGTTTCCTGAGATAACTGAGAAGTCAGTGATAGATGTCCCAGAGAAAGTTTCTACAAAACTCCAGTTTTAATGAAATTCTGTCACCAGTAACAGGAGGTATGGAAAGCCTTATTTTATTTAAACAAACAAACAACCCCAAGGCCTTAGTATTCAGGTGCACCAATATAGTATAAAATACGAGTAATTTTAAAGAAGATTTTCTATGCAGCCAGGAAAGTAAACCTAAAATTTATATAGCTACGTTATATAAGAACATTGATAATGGCAGGATGCTTTATTAAGTAGCTATGTTTGCTGTGTAGGTTTCAAACTTGATCTGGCAGTAAGCAATAATTAGGTTACTTGAAAGTCCACTATAATATGTGTAAAGCCGTAAGCATTTGCTTGGTTAAGGCTTTGTGTGTGTGTATGTATGTGTATATATATAAATATATATTTTTTTTCTTCTTTTCTTTTTGCTGAATGACCACCAAACAGATTGGATTAACTGGTAAGGAGCTCAAAAAATAAAGGGAGAAGGACCAGGGAATACAAAGTCTGTCCGCATTAAGTGCGAGTGCACCTTCATGGAAGTGCTGCCAGGCCGTATCCAGGAGCTTTGTTTGCTTTACCTTGCTGCAGCACTGGAGCTGGGAGCTTCTCCCTCTCATTTTGTCCCCCTAGAAACACGGCAGCTTTTGTTCCTAAAGATAACGTGGTGAGAGGCTGTGAGATGGGGCGCAGGATCCAGCCCCGTGCTGTGGAGCACTTCTGGTAATTCCTTGCACAGGTTTGGGACAGGGCTCCTCCGTGAGGTCTTTTTTTTTTTTTTTTTTTTTTTTTTTACAGATTTGTTGTTTTGCTGTCCGTCTCCTCAATTCAGAAGAGCCGGGGGGTGTGGAGGGCATCACTTCAGGTTGCAAATAGCATATCGGGGAGTCTGCTTGCAATTAGGGAGGAAAGCCCTGGAAGAAGGCTTTAACTGGCATGCCTACCAAAGCGTTTGAGCATTCGTTAAAACATCATACTTGGAGAAATAAAGAAAATAAATGATTCCATGGACACAGTAATGTGAAATGGAGAATGTCAAATACCATACGTGCCAGGTAGCAGTAGTATACCAACCTTCTTTTCCCATGTAATTAAAGGATGTTTATTTTCCTAAAACATGATGTAATAGTAACTGTGGGTCAGGCTTGAGGCTTATTTCTTAGATCCTTGTTTGCGTTTTTTTTTTTTTTTTTCTGGTAAAAGGTACCCAGAATACCGAATAAAATTTGAGAAGAAACATGCCCCAAACTCTGTTTTTACACACTACCGTAAAGGCAAGACCCCACTCTGTTTCAGTGTCGATGAGGGTTAAAATCAAGGAGGAATGTTTAACATAGTTTGCTTCTTAAGGAAGGGTTTTCCTTTTGATGAATGAATTAATTGAAATGCGGACGTTTTGAAGGGAACTCTGGATTAAGTCCTGAAGCGCTCTGTTTTATTTTGGCTGGCAAAAAGCCGGACAAGCTTCTGGCTGTGTCGGAGTTGCCCCGTCTGGCTGGTTATATCAAGGGAAGGAAAATGCCTTGCTATAAATACAGCACAGGAGCTGTCACGGGCAGCATCGCTGCGTTGGCTTCGGGCTGCTAAATGCTCTTCTGCAGTACGTGGGAACCATTGTGGGATCCAGGCCGTGGCGTGTCATGCTCTGCAGCCTGATTTTGATGAAGTACTTGTTTTGTTCAGTGAGATACCTCTCAAGTATACAGTACGCTTGTGGACCTAGAGTCATTCTTTGCCTCGCTCAGAGCTGCTGAACCAGGTTGTTAGAAAGTCGCTTTGTGCTCGGGAAGTAGGAAGGCAGGGACTGCTTTTCAGGACAGTCATGCAAGTATAAAGGGCATCTTTTCAAACTTTCCACCTTTAGTTTGTGAAGAAGTTTGAACGGGTTTTAGCTGGCAATCAGACTTTGACTGTGCAAGGAAGTCTTAGGTGGAGAACTACATTTAGTCCAAACTAGCACTGCTGTTCAATTCAGGCTTTGCTGTGCTATCTCGTAAGCCTGTAAATGGTGATTACTTATTTTTTCTACAGAAAGACTGACTGGTTGCTAGATGAGGCTGTTTGAAGCATGCTGCTGGAGGTGCTCTTCATAATATTCACTACAGTTGGTTACAGATCATTTCTCTGGCTTACATGCAACATAAAATTGATCATAAAGCTAGCTTATTTTCCTTCTGTGTGACGATAACGGTGCTTAATTTAGAACAAATTATAATACATTATTGTAGTCAAAGAAAACAGGCAGTGAACTGTTGCAGTAGTTGATGTTAACTTTAGTTCTACCCCAATTCTCTTTTTTGGGGGGCAGATTATTAGATCTCATTTTCCAGTAGTTGAATTTTTCCACTATCTGGGTGAGCTCATGCATTTAATTCGTCTGATCTTTTATTTTTACTATAAATATAACATGTACGGGATCGAGAGTCCTTGAGGTGTTACGTTTCTATGACATCTTTATTGACCAAATCTTTTTTTCCTCTTACTCGATACAGTTACGGACATAGAGCTGAAGCGACTGAAAGATGCTTTCAAGAGAACTTGTGGACTCTCATACTATATGACCCAACAATGCTTCATCAGGGAAGTTCTTGGTGATGGAGTCCCTCCAAAAGTTGCTGAGGTAATCTATAAACTTTTCTGGAGAGATGTATGTGGTTGATACTTTATACCTTAGATGTGCACACACAGATATGCCTGTGCAGAAACAGGCAGATTTAATTTCTTTCCATTTTTCATCTAATATTACAGTGTGTGTTCTCTAAATGGAGGTAATGTTCCAGACTTGGATCATGAGCTGTCACTGATGTGTGCTTGATTGTGTCATTGCTTGAGACTCATCTAATATGTGGCAAATGACTTCAGAGTAAATCTAGGTATCCAGATGTAGATTTGGGGAAGTGAAAAATTGGGAAGTTTTAACTCTCTCTATGAAACTATTATAGTAGAGGATTTTATTTACTCTGGAGCTGAGCATGCTGATGTTTCTCTGAGATTCCAGAGGCCTTTACTATGTTTTCTAAAGTACAGATTAATCTTTACAAGCTCTCAGAAATAATTTTGTGTATTTTAAACATATATAAATGAACTGGAGGGTAACCAGAACCAAAATATGCTACATAAGTATAAATAATGTGTGAGTGTATATATATATGTATGCATAAATATATGTGTATATATATAAAATAAAAATAGTGATACCATCCTGCACATGTGCTTTGAAAAAAAAATACCTTTCGTAGAGTTGTCTATATTTTGAGAGAGAAATTAAAATATTGTTCAGGGAAGAATAAGATTAGCCAGACCTTTCAAATGATATTTTGCTCCATGTCATTTCTAATCACAGCTTCTATTTCTGGTATCTTCAGTGTTATTGACCTCACAGGCAGCGTGCAAGTCTCTCAGTTTTATTTAGGTAATGTGCATAGTGAGGTGTGTGTTGCAAAAGGTTTAACACTGTATTAGAGGGTTTCTTTTTTCTAAGCTTAATGTTTTCTCTGTTCTTTTTTCTTTTTTTCCCTAAGTATTGACAAAGAGGATATTACTTGCTTCTTTAGTATATTTGGCAGTTTTATTTTTATGTGTGTATTCAAGCACTTAACAGGAAATACTGTAATGTGTTAGCACTGTCAAACTGAATGAAAGTATGAGATTTCTTGTAGCTTAAGGCAAGTGTCTTCAGTACTAGATTTGGTATATTTTGTGTGAATACATTGTTAATAGACGAAAAATTAAAAAAATAATAAAATAAAAATCTTAAACAGTTCATTATTTTTTGAAATAATATGAAATATTAAAAAATTCACATTGTGAATTAATTTGTACTTTATTATCCTTTTTATGCCAGTATTAATGGTGAAATTATTGATTTGGATGAGATAAATTTTCACAAATAGATACTCTGGGTTTTCAAATGTCTTCTGTTACCCTCTATTTTTTTTTTTTAATCTAACCTTAAAGACACAATTGTGATCATAATTGTGTCTCTTAACGTTGCAGTTCTACTGCAGTTCCTGGTTCCCATTTGGTGAAGTAAAGTTAGTGGAAAAATCATGACAGTTTGTGATGTGATTTCATCAGAAGTGGGATATAAGCAGCTCAAAATTCCAGTACAAATTACTGTGCACTGAATTACTGTGTACTTCTAGCATTCATATTCGGGCAATGCAATATTCATATCTCTGAGCTTGAATATTGAAAATCCGGACAAAACTTGGACTTGACTCCGCTCATATTGTAATGGCATTCTTTGTAATTCAGTGTGGAAAGGCAAGCACACTCATTAGACAGCTAAAGCCTTGTTCTGAGTTTTCAGCCTTTCAGTCATTGAAATGGATTATTTTTAGCCTGAGATTGCTGGGCTGTTTTCTCTGCATGCTTTGAGTAATGATTTGTTGTATCTGAGGAGTGATAGGCCTTCAGGAATTCATTAAATTAAAAACACTGATAGAGCAGGCATGCAAAAGAGGGAAATGAAGTCTGTGGAACTTCAATCAATTTACATGATCGTCATGCACACGAAACACTTAAATGTTCTGGGTGGTTATGTTCTGAAAGGATCTCTTAGAAAAATGGAATTGAAAATATTAATAAAATGAAACAGCATGGGCTGTGTCTGCATTGCTTTAACTGCAGGAAAGCCGGTCAAGGGCTGAGATGCATGAACACAGCAATTATTTTTAAATCTAGGGAAATAAGACAATTATGTTCTGCAGTTATAGGTACCTTGACAGGAAAAGTACTGTTCAGAGGAAGTAGAAAGAAGGAATGGTAATATCTCAAGAAAGCATTTTTAGTAGCTTTGTATGTTAGTCTTAGGAGAGGAAGAATGCTGAGAAGGACCTCCTAACTTTGTCCTGTGCAGTCCTGTCCATGACTAATTAGATTATACCTTTATCAGCTTAATTTAGAGGGAGTTGCATATCAACCTTCTTAAAAAAGAAATAAGCAGTGATTTTTTCTTGTTCATTTCTTCCTACATGTATTATGATTGTGAGAAGCACTTGTGCTGGTTTTTCTCCAAATGTGACTGTAATGTAAGTAGAAGAGGGATGCTAATGAAGACACGAAGGACATGTAGGGGGAGCTGCCAAAAGAATGAGAATGGAGACTTCTCAAGGACTGAAAGAGAAGACGGGTTATAAGAATAGAATCAGGGAAGAATCCAGCAGGTTTTATACGCTAGAGAAAGGAGCCAAAATAATACTTTGAACATCCTCTCCTACCCTTCCAACAGGCTTACTAGAAGCTGTGGGCACAGCGACACAAAATTGCTTCTTATTTTTGACAGTGCATTTTATTAGAAAAAGTTTTCCAAATAAAATTAATGTGAAAACTTGTGGGGCTACTTCTTCAGAAATGTGAACTAATCCTGGTTGTATATTGTGTGCAACTTACTCAGTGTTTGTAAACTCTCACCAAAAAGTGATAAGTGACTGAGGTAAAGGTAATACCAGCTGCTAATTGTTCTACTTCAGAGGTGTGTTAGATACTAATACCTTGGATATTATCCACAGAATTCCTTTTTCTTAAATCTTGAACGATATGTTGTGTTAAAATAATACATAAATGTAATAGCTGGCATTCAAATGATACTGAAATGGAGATGTGCAAAGTTCAACTCAAGTGGGTGGAAAGTTCAGAGATGGGTATGAATTTGAAATACGCTTTCAGATGGATGAAGAGAGGAGACAGCTGTATTCAAGGTGATTTATGAGATAAGTGTGCTTTAAAAGTCTAAGAGCACAGAAAGGTGAAATTTGAGTGACAGAGAAGAATAAAAAAAAAGATAATCTTTTAATCAATGTTGTGAAGGAAAAACAGTGATTTCTCTTTCATTTGGCTGTATTTACATATACATGTATATGGTCTTTGAAAGTCCTGTTAATCTGAAATGTGAGAATTCTCTCCCTTTTCATACTTAGTGTGCTTGGATGTTTTTTCCTGCATCTGAAGGAGCTATATTAAGACTTAAGTACAGTATTCAGCAGAGCTAACTGCTTATTTAAAAAAAAAAAAAAAAAGAAAAAAGTAATGGCTCCAGTGTAATATAGAAGTAAATCACTTATGTATGCAGTGTAGCCCTGAAGGCATCCTGTGAAATCAGAATGATTAGAAGTAGACAGTGTGGAATTCAGATCTCTGCCATGACATAGTCCGTGAAGCATACACTGTGTCCAAACAGAGCACAAACTCAGTTTTAATAATTTGAACTCCTCAAGCATCTGCAAATGGATTAAACTTTACTAATAGAAGATGACCTGAGCGTGCTCTGGGTGGTTAGTGTGTGTGCGTGGGGCTGTCTTCCAGCAGAAGGAAATGGCAGGTTCTGCATAACATCTTCCATGGAATGAGATCCTTCTGTGCTTTTGTGTTCACTTAAATGTACCTGCCCTCAGACATCTTTAGATTTTGGGGAATTTTCAAAGCCTCGCTGTGGTCCTCTTGCACCTCCCTCACCAGTTCCCTCTGGCTGCTGTCAGCGTGTTTACTTGCTGCTCAGAAGGCTCTGGGAGGCGTTCGTGTTACCATCACGGTGATTTACAAGTACTTCAATACGAAACTATTTAAGTGATTCAGGAAGATTTTGCTTTCTGTGAAGCCTTTTTCCAGTGCTGAGTTGTTCAAGACAAAGTTGTTGGTAACAAAATTGGTTAAATTTTGCTTTCCCAGTCTAAAAGGGGCAAGTTCTGTTGAAGTATTTAGCTGATTTTTTGGCTTCCAGTTAGCGTAACCCATTCTGATGCTTGTCAGCTCCTGGGTAAACAGTTTCCTGGCACGTAGACCTGTGTGAGTGAGACGGAAATGTTTGTTGGTCTTGTTTTGGAAGACATGGCACTCACATTCTGCACAGGGATTTCAGTCTGTTAAAAATTGATTTTTCTCCTTAATACTCTTCATCGTAACGTGCTGTCTGGCTCCTTTAGAAGGCACAACTGATAACAGATTGCACTTGATTACACGGAATGCCCTACGTAGTTACGGTAGTAGTATATAGATGTTCTTGTAATATTTGAAATGTGATTTATGTACTTAATTCGTGCCAGTTTCATGGGCAGCTTCATTCTGGCTACTTACTGACAGCCTGAGGTCACCCACTTTGAGTGCACTGGATTAGTGAAACCTGGTAACAAAAATGGTTATTTCAAATCCAGGGTGGTTCCCTGCCTGGTTTCACTCATAGTTGTGCTACATGAACGCTTATCCTGCTATCACAGGCAGCGTGTCTGCAATCTTCTAATTAATACGAGAATTCATACTTTCATGTAGTCATTTTACTTTTTGATGAATTAGAAGTGGATTGTTTTGATGCATTTAAAACTTGTTGGGTAGATTCTCAGGATGTCACGCTTAAGACTGTTAGGGCCACGTACCTTTTTCTGGAACTGCTGGTAGTCTAGAAGAGAAGTGTCACTCCAATCACACATGTCATCCCTCACTTTCATTTTCTTGTCACTTGTGGGTGTAAATGTTTCCCGATGGTTATGGTGGATTTTAAAAACAAACAAACAAACCAACCTAAAATGTGTATTCGTTCTTTAGACTGGTGCATTTTGGTCTGTGTGTCCCAAAGGGTCATAGCCTCCTTTTTAGTCTTGGTTAAACTGGTTAAATTTAAAAGGTTAAAATGAATTGTGCAAACTCTTGTATTTTCGAAGGTTTTTTAATTTTTAATAGAGGTTAGGAAGTCAGAAGAAAAAAAAAAGTTAAAAATGATGTTGCTTTTGCTGTTTAGAGATGTTTGGTTGTGGTTCGTGTATTTAATACCAACCAAAAGGCAGGGAAGGGATACAGATGTAGCAGCAGTTAAGACCTGTGGGTTTCATCCAGTGGTTTGCTAATGATTGGCTCTGCTCTGTTGGGTAATTCACAAAATAGTGAGTCTGCCTGCAGTAACGTAGAAGCCCCACTGACCTCTGAACTCTGCTGGGGCTCTTTGGCTAAGCTGCTGTATAACGAATACGCTCAAGGCTTTACTGGAGAAAAATGAAGAAGCAGAACATAATTACATGTATACATCCTGTTTGTAATCTTGTTTATTTAGTAAGTAATTCAGTAGCAAGCAAGGAGAATAGTATTTAAAATGTACACAGTATGTTTAGGGCCCTGGTGTAACTTGTTGCTGTTAGTTGTGATGTCTCTGTTCCTGCTCTTAATGTTTTGGTTTACTTCTGGTTTATTCTCTTAGGTTATCTACTGTTCGTTTGGAGGAATGTCCAAAGGGCTGCACTTCAATAACTTGATAGTTGGATTAGTTCTACTTACAAGAGGCAGAGAAGAAGAGAAAGCAAAATGTAAGTAATACAACTTTAAAAAGTAATAACAGTATCATGCATGTAGAATATACTTCTGTAAAGGAACCATAAATCGTGCTGTATTAAGTCACCGTTGTTGTATGTAAGTGGGAATACATTTGCCAATAAAGATAGTATATTTTTAGACATTTTTAGCTGCATATTTTGAAATTCTATATATTTTAGTTTTCTATACCTAACAAAGTGAAATATTTGATAAATTCTCATGTTTGTGGATGTTAGGATCCTACAGAAAGACTGCTGAGTACTGTATGTAGGCAGAGAAAGGAGGACAGTGCTGGTATTTTTCAAAACAAACTAAAGCATCTGCCTACTGACTTCTGTTGTTTTGTCTTTCTTGTTAATCTGACTTGATAGTATTTATTTTTTTTTTTTGATTAGTGGGCAGTGGTGAAAGAAAATATTTCTTGATCTAAACCCTATTAAGCTATACTGTGATTGAATCAAATTATTGCACTGCTTTTGGCATTCTTAACCAGTTTTAAACCTAGTGTTTGGAAAAATGTAACTACGGTAGTTGTTTAAATATTTTTCTTCTTTCTCAGACATTTTCAGTCTCTTCTCTAATGAATCTGGGAGTTATGTTGTTCGTGAAGAGATGGAGAAGATGCTGCAGGTGGTTGATGGAAAAGTGCCAGAATCGCTCAAGAAATGTTTCTCTGAGGTACATTTTGTACAAGTTTTATCTTCACAAAAAAAGTGAATATTACATTAGGCAGTTTTTCTTCTACTGTATAAATTCATGTGGATGTGTGGCAATAAATTAACATTGGTTAAAGAGAGGAAAGGTTCATAGTGTTTTTTTTAATCTTATAATATTATGTGTGATTTGCGTTGATGTAAGTAGCAATTTGGTATATGCAGGCATTCTCCATGCTATTTTACTTACTGTGCTAGTTTGAAAGATACCGTTTCCAAAAGGTAGTCATGTAATCAAGTAAATTTAAGTATGAATTTTGCCAGTGAAATTTCATTGATTAGTGTCGATATTTTATTGCAGTTGGGAAAGAAATCTAGAACACAGATCTGAGAGAGGAAAGAAAATCTGCCCCTTGGATTTAAAAAAGAAAAAAAAAAAGGGCAAAAAAAAAAGGCCTACCAGCAGTGGTTGCTTAAAATAATAGTATTAGAATATTACTGCTGTCTCACTGTGCCTGCCAGGAGCTACACCATTTATTTACGCATTAGGTTGTTTGAGAGATGTAATCTTTTTGAGGCTCGTTAAAGTCCTCCCCTAAAACAGGCTGTTGTTACTTATAGATATTCACAGATACTTCCTTGGCCCTAGTCATCCTACTGAACTGTCAGGTTCCTTTGATTTGGTTGTTTCCTTTTAGTTATTGACCAGCAAAATCCAGTTGTCATTATACATTCTGCTGTAAAACTGGTTGAGGAGAACCTTTATTTGTGGATTTCAGGTTACTTAATTTCCTTACAAATTCTTGTACTGTGTTTGCGATAACTTTGGTATGCTTGTTACCAGCATTGGCTGAGGCAAACCCTCTTAATCTGGCAGTGGTGTCATGTTGGCTTTGTGGGCAACAATTACCTTCGTTCTTGCCTGGGATCATAAATCATACGTATACTGCAGTCCAGTTTCTGGAGCCTGACCACTTTGATATTTCCTACTTATAATTCCCCATCAATATGGTGTGATGAATTATACCCTAAAAGTTAATTGCATACTGTCCAAGAAATCTAGAAATACTTTATGAAGATCTTGCAGGGAAAGAAGTATCAATCTGGCTTGATACCGTTTTCCTGTTCAAGAAAATGCTCTATATCGATTTTCTTTTAAAAGGAAAATAGTGTAATAACCCACTCAGCAGGATTTACTGGCCTGTTAATCATACTAGGTCATTGCTGAAGAGCGAGAAAGTTTAATGTTCCTGCTGTGGGTCTGCCTTCCTGCCGTATGGCAGATGAGTTTATGCTTTCCAGGATGATGTTTATAGGTACTTTCATTCTTCCCTTCAGAATTACTGCATGTGCTCTTCTAAAAATAAGAGCTTTGAAGCATATCTATGTTTTCCTCATCCTTGCTTTTGGAAAAAAAAAAAGAAACAAATTCAGTGATATCTGCATTGCTCTAGTTGTTGAGTTCCATCATGGCTCAGCTGTAAACCTTACATGCCTCAAATGCTTTTTTTCCAAAGCTTTTTCCTGTCCCATGTCTTGTTGCTCTAATCAATTAGAATGACACAGGAGTCTTGGTGAAACATGGCACAGCTCTTGCTCCATTTACAGACAGCAGTGGAAAAAAAGTAGTAGGAAAGTAGAGTGGAAGAGGTAGAAAGAAAATGATCTTGAGTCTGATTCAAACTGCTAAAGAAATTTGAAAAACAAAACAAAAATCCACCATGTTGTGGGCTGCATTTTCCTCCTCTGTTTGACAGCAAATTTGCTTTTGCTTAAGCAAGTGGTTCCGTAATCAGCTAAATCCTGCAAAATCCAAGTTGTTGACTTACCCTTTTCCTGGCAGTTGTTCCCTACCCTTGTGCTGGCTCAGGTAATTTTATGATGCCTTGATGAGGTGGATTGAGAAACTGATCTGGCTGAGAAGTAACCCCTTTTTCTGTAGCTACTGCGACTGCTGTTGCAAAAGAAAAGGCTAGGTGCCTGTAGGAGGAAGGTTAGGATCCCTGCTGTCGGTCAGTCCTGTGGATATGTACTGATTAAACAGATGATGGAATAGCAATGTAGCATCCTGACTTCCTTGAATCATTGTCATGTGGAAGTCTATGACAGTGCCTGTAAGTGTTGGGGTATTTCTTTGTTCCCCTCCTCTAAATCCTGCAGATAAATTTGCTGTCTATTCTGCTATCAAGTTCAGTTCAGTTCAAGGCGGTTGAGTAGCATAGCGCTCAGGTTTTCCAGCAGAGAAGCAAATGAAATATGTTCCTAAGTTGTACTTTTCTTCTGTGTTAAGGTTAGAGAGTCTTTCTCCTCTATGAATTACCAACAAAGATTGCCACTCTTCCCTCCTTACAATTTTTTTCAGTCTTCTGTGATAGTTCCATTTATTTCTGACATGCTTAGGTTGACTTTTGTACTAGATTTGTTATACAGGGAAGTGCAGGTAAAATTCCCCAAAGCGATGCAGGGCTGTAAAACTAGCAACAAGCACATTTTTCCCCCTGTTTATTAGTAAAAGGAGAGTCAGAAGGCGATTTGATCATGATATCTGCATGCATTTATAGGAGAAAAATATAACACTAATGTGGGGAAGAGAGGCATAAAAAGAGCCAGTATCTGGAATATGAAATAATCCATTACAACTGGAATACGAAGCAAATGATTTAGCAGCAATGGTGATTAACCGTTTTCTTCAATTGGCATTTGCAGATAGTCCACGCCCCGGTGCAAATTGTTGGATGCTGTAGAGGTGTAATTCAGTGAAGCTTAATGGTCTGTGATATTAGGGAAGTTTAACTAGTCAATGGCTTGAAACCTCTTCCAGTTTCCAGACCTCTGTTTATTTACCATGGAGATTAGGGCCTCCATATAATGAGTTTGTCTACTGATAATAGGTTTGCCTTTATTGTAGTTAGTTTTCTAGGCAGTGAAGAAATAAGTCTGCTGATCCCTATGGCTTCATACCCACAGCTTGAAAACCGTTCAGCTAAATGGTTTAAACAGCCTCTTCAGCAGTTAAACTCTGTGAATCCATAGCTTTTACATATTCCTGAAGAGGCAGTTCCATGAGACATCCAGCAAGAGAAACCTGAGTTAGGAGATGCTGTGAATGTCATGTTTACCTGCATGCTGCAAGGTGTTCTTGGTCACCAGCAGCATAATTTTTTATGCTGCCGCAGTGATTTCTCATACTGTTAGTTATTCACAAATCTAATTATGCTAGGTGTTTGTGTGCTTGCACAGATGTAACATAATGCTTATGATTTTATAGCACCTGTTAGTCAGCACGAAAGAGCTTTTATCTGTCATAACAACTTCAAATTCATAAAAATAACCCCTGTTGTTCTGAGTTGTAAGAAACCATTTTTCTTCTAATCCCCATAACCTGAGGTTCAGAGTAAATGCCTTTCCAAAGGCCACGTTGAGTAGGAGGTTGAAATGCAGAGAGCTGAGGAGTCTAATTTCCCTCCTTGTGCTGTATTTCAGAATGAAACAGAAAAACAGGCATGGCTCCAAAAAATTATTTCAGTACTTGTTTTTCTAGGAGATTGTCCTAATTCTTGTTCTTGCAGCTAGATGGTTCCTGTTTACAGATACCGAGAAAGGAGAGAAAACCAGTCACGTTTTCTTATTTTCTAATAGGGTGAAAAGGTAAACTATGAGAAGTTCAGGGTTTGGCTATTGCACAACAAAGATGCTTTCACATTTTCCCGTTGGCTGCTGTCTGGAGGTGTGTATGTGACACTCACTGATGATAGTGATACTCCTACCTTCTATCAAACACTGGCTGGAGTCACACACTGTAAGTAAAAGATGCTTCTTATTATGTGCGTTTCATAAAACTATTTCAGAGTTCACAAACTTAAACTGTTGCCTTGCTGCAGTTGTTCATTAAATCTTACTGCTCTGATTAGATGCATGCAGTTCTGTTCAGCGAGATACATTTCTTCTCCATGCTAATTTGTTCTCTGCTTTTTGTGCTGTGACAAGTAAAACATTGTTATGTACAAGGACACAGTGGGGCATTATTTTGAGAGAACAGCATTGAGATTACAGCATTTCTTATAGTAGATGTTGACTACCAGGCAAATTAAAAAAATAAAAAAAAGCAAAATGTCTTCTCTGACAAATATGTTAATCTAAAGAGACTTGATGGTAATACAGGTTTTGTATTTGCTTTTTCTGGTGTAGTGGATCATAAAACTATTGAGATGGTTTTGATAACAATGCTTGTTTCAAAACTAAGTATTACATCTTAGGTTGTTTTCTACAGTCAAATAAGTAATATTCTTGGCATGTGATGTAGTCAGGGAACTAAATTAACTAAAGAGAAGCCTCCTCAGGATTTGCATGTAGGAACGATCTCCAAAGAACAAATGCTTCCTTATGTCTATATTATTGCAAAAGGAGGAGCAGCTGTTTTGTAGATTAAATGTAAAAACAAAGAGCTGACAAATTATACTTGATGTGCAAGTGTAATGTGAGCATACATTACAGGAAAGCATCTGAGGGACTCGGTGTCCCTTAGGAGAAGGGTCTTTGCTGTTGAGATGTCAGTGATTCGAACAATCTGCGTGTACTTTATGCACTCACAGATTTTTCTGTTAATGTGAGCATGGCATTTTCTCCCTTCAATAGGTGGATTACTTTAAAATTATGTATAATTTTTATAGTTTTTTTCTTCTGTTTTTAAATACGGATTGAAATTCTGTTTAGAACATCTGAAATGAAAATGCATGATTAAATTAGAAGTTTATAGGCTAGTAATTTATTAGGGATACAGGAGAGATTGCAGTAGACATGGAGGTTTCAGAAAACCATGCCAAGGTCTAATAGACAGGGATAGAGAAAGAGGTTTGCTTAAAGGAGAAAGAAGGAAAGAAAAAAAGAAAGAAAGAAAGAAAGAAAGAAAACACATTCTTGAATTCTACAGATTTCAGCCCTCAGAAAAATCTCTCAATCTGTATCAAACTGAGACTCACCACACTTCCAGCCTTGTCAAGTCTGCCTTACCCTAGGTATTCAAAGAGAGCTTTACCCCGTGCCTCTGAATGTTACCTTGGAGCTTGCTTAGATTTTTTTTTCACGTGAAATTGAATGTTTTTCTGTACAATTTTTACTAAGCTTTTCACAGAAAGTTTATTTATACTGAAACTGAGGTTTGTAGTAAAAAAATAAATAAATAAATCTGATTCTTAGAAAATAATTGTTTGGGTGGCTCCATGTTACATTTGTTTCTGCTGTAGTAATTTTGATTTTTTTTCTTTTAATTTCATAGAGAGTATTTTCACTTTTTTATTGCAAACTTTTTGACCCTTGTCTTGACAGAATCCCATTTATTTGGTCAGTCTCTGTCAGATGAAATTGTCTCAGGTGCTTCCGTTTACATTTGAGCTTTTGTGATTGCAGGGACCTTCCACTAATCACGATGACTCTGTTAGCATTTCAGCCATCTAATTATTGTCTGAGCACGCTTTCGGCAGGAACAGTAGTCTCTATCTTCCATGTAATGACTCGTCACCTTTAACTTCCGCTTACCTCTTTGATGTCTTCAACTGTACAGCCTCGAATCTTGCTTAATTGCTCTTACATGAATCGCCTCCTTCATGAAGAAACTGGCTTGCTCTGTTTAATTTTTTTAGTAGACTCAGTGACACTACCTCAACACTGTCAGCATCATCACTGAGAATGGCAACCTTGAAACCAGCTCACTGCTGCTCTGAAAGGAGTATTTGTGTAATTCCTTGAATTTGAAGGTTTAGGAATTCAAGTAATGCTCATGTATTTGGTTTTAATCTCTTAAGTTAGTTAAGAATAATTTCATAACACTCCTGTGTATTGCAGCATCTGATTTTGTAAATCATGTTACAAGAGGAAGCGTTTAGTCTCCTTTCTGGGAAGCATGCATGCGTGGTTGCTCCTCTACACATGCTATTTGTATAGCTACGTGTTCTCTTGGAGAAGTTCGCAGAGTTTTAAAGCCTCATGAAAAGTGTTCGCAGAATTTCAGGTCTCTGCTGGGTGATTCAACACAAACTATGTATTCAGGAGAAAAAAAAAAAACAACAACCAAACAACATCACCATCAAAGGAAAAAAACAAACAAAAACAACAACACTTGTGTTCTGGGGAAAAAAAGAAAAAAAGCGTTGCTATAATATTAGACCAGACTATGGAGAAATTCAGTCTATTCTGGCAGCTGATAGTGTTTGTGTTTCTTTACCAGCAGCTTACTTTGATAAGCAGTCAAGAAGGTGGGGATAAATGAAAACTTAAGCTGTCCATTGTTGGCATTAAAAAGCTGAAATAAAACTAAATATTTGAGAATGTTTGAAGTGATCATTGAATCTTCAGGTACATGTCAGAAAGCTTTTCATTTTATGCAGGAAACTCCTGTAGCTTACATCAGTAAAATGTTTCAAACAGTATGGTGTCTGCAGGTTTGGTATACTGAACCACATTTGGAAAGCTTATGTTCTGGGGTGTGTTTGGACCACTAGATAAAATTAAACTTTATTGTACTTTTTTTATCTTCCAGCTAAATATTGTTACAATAAAAAAAGGAAAAAACAAACAAACAAAAAAGCACAATGTATTCAGTACTGTGTTAGAATGTATTCAGCTTGATACCTTTCAAAGGACAGATGTGGAAAACCGACAGCAATTTTAGGTAGGAAGAAGACAAACTGTTGAACTAACCAGCCTCCCCCACGTCTGGACAAACGCTTCTTTTTATGATGTGTCTGATGATTTCCCTTGTGATTTCAGGCGGTAGAGGAATCTTATACAATAAATGCAAAAGTAAGGAAAATCAGAGTGCTTGGTCACTTGGAAGTAATTGCAGTGAAATATGAATGCTTGGGGCCTTGCTGGTTTGCTTTAAGTCTAATATTTACAGCCTAGTCAAGTCAATCTAAAGAGTAAGAAAGTAATCTTACCGTAGCTGCATGTACGAAGCAGCATGAGCTGTTATGACAGCTCCTTTTCTTTAAACCGAGGCTTGGTTTTAGTACATTTAACTAGGATAATAGTTACCTTTTGGGAGAAAATGGAACTGAAATGATGTTTAGTAAACCCAGGCAAATGCTGCTGGCAGAATATAGTGAAAGTGTGAGAGTTTTTAGAATTTCTTCTACTGTCAAATGAAAACTGCTGAGTAGAGCTCCCCTCCCAGGGCATGCACAGATTCATCCCCTGGCTGCAGGACTGTGGCCAGGTCGCAGCACGCCCTCTCCTGGAGCAGGGCTTTGCTCAAGCTTCAGACCCTTCTCAAGCCTTACCTCCTCTCATCGTGCTTTCCATTAAACATCTTAAATAATATGTCAGAGACGTGAAAAATTGTGGTGATGAAAATAGTGAAAGTTATTAACGTTGATGTAGGAGAGACAGCGAACGTTTTATTGCAAGGCACCAGTGACTCCATTTATGTTTGTTTAATGAGCCGAGCCATCAGCAAAACAAAGGAATTCTAATTTTTCAGTTGTAAATAACATTTGTTTCGCAATGCAGATGACTTCAATTATTATTTCTCAATACATAATTAGAAATTAAACTTTGAAGTTACAGGAAGTTGCATGTGCTCACTGCTTTTAATCAAATTTTGTTCCATTTCGCTTAAATCATAAATAGGAGTCATTTTATTTGAAAGCTACCAGAATAACGTAAGTTTCTCTTGGACCTTGTTCCCAAAAAGTAGTTAAAAGGATACGTGTCTCACCTCCATCCCAGCAGTGACCAGTAGCAATAGTCTAGATTCTCTCAGTTTTCTGGTCCGATTGGGTACTTCTGTTTTTTATCTGTTTAGTCATCATACTGAACAGCAGTGTAGTGGAACGTGGAAGTCAGAGATAATCCTGTCAAGGACTACTACTAACACTGAATTTCTCTGCAGGAGAATATTTCCAGCAAATCATTATCTGTCCTTAGTAATTACAAATTAAACGCCTAATCTCCTCTGGTACTCTCAAGTTCAAATACAGTAATTCAATAATACAAGAGCTCTTGGCAGCTGGAAGATGTCATTTTGGTGCCTACCCTGCAGGTTTGTACTCTTTTAAGTATCAGAGCAGATCTGAGTCCCAACTAGGTGCAAAGCAGAGCTTTCTGTTGCTTAGTTTAGCTGATGGATGTAGAGGAAGAGGAGACACTGAAGGGTGAGATCCTGCTGGTTTCCTTCGCTTGGCTGGACACAGTTCTTCAGGTGAAACACAGGTGGTGGTGAACTTCTCTACAGCTGGGTCTTTTTGGTGTTCCTCAGTGTCACTTGATGGTCTTACATACTCGGGTTTTCTGTCCTGATCCATAGGGGGAATGCTCCCACTTGTGAGAGGTTGCTGGTTTCAAACTGACAGGCCATGTAATTTGTGCTTCTCCATTACCCCATTCTTGTGTCACTTAGTTCTTACTAAATAGCATCCTAATTCTCCTTTGAAGTGACTATCTTCTGTCGTCAGGAAAAGAATTGTCAAAATCCTCCTGCTTTTCTGACAGCTCTTCCTGAGATTCTGCAAGACAGTGTTTAATCAGTATAATAATTATATCTTAGAACAAAGTTATTGCTAATTTGTCGTAATAAATGAGAGACGCCCTGGATAACCAGATGTCATGGTTGAAATGCAGGAGTGAGTTGATGAAACAGTTTGAAGCTGAAACTGAACGTTGTGGAAGGAACCTCTTCTCTCAGGTTTAGAAACCTGTAGAGCTTTGTGGTAGGGTCAAGTCTGTAAAAAGAAAGAAAAATCAAGCAATCGCTTAACTTTGCCCATCCTGAGAGGCTGTCTGGGTGTAAATGTATTCCCTTCTTTTTAACTTAAAGAAATAATAGCAAAAAAAAGATGGAAGTATTCCAGCACAGGAGGCCAGTAAGAAGAAGCCTCAGTGTCACTTAATCTGCAGCTTGCCACTTTGTGATCCTCTTAGTTCCCAGGTTATTTTATGTCCTGCAAAGCAGCTCTGTGCCCAGCTCCCAGAACCTTCGATGCGTGCGTTTGCAAGTGCCCCACGGCCGCGGTTAGGCAGAAACCCTGGTTGTGGTTCAACCAGTCCGCCTCTGGTCCTGAGCTGGCTCCCTGGCAATGGAGAGCCCGCGGTGACCGGGGACGGGGTTTTGCCTGGAGGGTATCATGGTGAGGAGTGAAACGAAGCAAGTTGCAGTTAAAATGTTGGGAATATGGTATGCTTCTACTGCTGTGAGCCAGAGAGGATTGTGCCATTAGGTAGGTAAAAATTAGGTTGTTTATAAAATAGACTCAAATCTTTGCTTAATTTCGGTGTTACGAGGAATTGTAATACATCAGGCCTGAAATGGAAACCTGTTCTTACTTTTTTTTTTCTATGAGAGAAGAATATTCATGGCTTGCTACCTGTGTAGTATTTAAGAAGGGAGTTATTTCATGAAAATGGCATTAAAATGAAGGGTGCTTTTTTTAGTGTTTATTGTTGTTATTGCGGCTTGTCAATCGCAGTGTAGTGGCTGGTTTTAAATTAACTCATTTTTACAGTTTTTGCTGAAAACCTGTTATTTACCTGTTCTTCCTTTACTATACAAAGACTCCAGTTTGATGCGTACTTGACGTTATCATTCCTCCCATTGCGCTTGTCTAACTGCTAGAGAATTGAACTATAAAACACTATCATTAATTCTACAGATCTGATTTTTTTTGGTGACTTTAATGGACAAATGATGGCAGGAGAGATAAAATAGAATAGTAAGTGGGTAGTATCTGCTTAAATTTCACAGGTGCATAATGCCTGTGTGACCTCAAATAATCACGTGTTTAACTGGCAAAAATGAATAATTAGTTGCCTAGAAAACCAGTCTGTTCTGATGTTTTGGAATCTGTTGTATTTATAAGATAAATTTTTAATTTTTCTTAAGTTATTCAAAACTTGACCCACTAAATGAAAGCCTAGTTCACACCACCTGATGTGATTTGACCAGGTATTAGGAACAAAACAATTTTATACTTTGAGAAGTTAAAGTACTTGAATATAAGCCTCTTTAGAGGAAGATGGCACTTTTTCATATGCAGTAGTATGGTAAGTGCAGACACATTAGGATGATAAGTACAGTCTGCTTCTATCACGCTTCATTTAAACTTCAGTAACAAATATGATTGTATGTGTATATCCTAAATGGCAAAAGATTCCTGGCAGTTTAGATGTAACGAGGAACGTATGGCGCACTGCGTATTCTGAGAGCAATTTACGAGATTATGTGCAAAAAATCACTCTGGAGAAATCAAATTATCTAACAGCTGGCTTTGCAACTTCAGACTTAAACATTTGCATCCAGTAAATCTTTCTGTATTTTATGTAAATGAAACTATTTCAATAGGCTACAATTTATTGTTACCGAGAGTCATATTCTTTTGTTATATTCTTACTTCTCTTCAGCCTAAATCGTGCAAGTCTATTCAATGCGAAGGATGTTCTTTCCTGCTTCACCAGTTCTACTTTCTAAAATGTTTGGCTCTTCCATGGAAAAGTAAAATCAATACGCTAGATTTACCCTGGCTATATCAATGTAGCACTTCTTATGTTAATATTTATTAGTTATTATTTTGAAGGTGATGATTTGAAAATTTGTCTTTTAAAAGACAACATAATTTTAATTGCATAAATGCAAATGAGATGCTTTCTGGGATAACCTTTATTTGGTGAGATTAACTTGATAATGCAGTAAAGGTAGCACTGTAGAAACTATCAAATTTAGTAAGTGGAGCGCAAGTAGCTTCTACTGTCGGCATTTGAGAATATTTTACCTTGTAAGAAAACTTATTTTTTCAGTTCTTACTTACTAAAGGTAAATACCACACCTGCCAGCAGAACAGGTTTCTGCAGGGTTACTCTTCCGTAAAGACAACGTGAGCTTCCTCATGGCTTTTGGATATTCTTAGTGTGGCATCATTTCAGGAATGAAGCGCAACTGGCATGTCTGTTGTTCTTCCTAGTCAAAGATAGATTAAAAGGAAACAAACTGATTTGTATGCTCACCCTCAGGAACATTAGCATAATGCCTTTGTATTCGCTAATGAGAGCGATAACGTGTGTGCAGTTCTGAATGGCACTACAAACCTGCCCTTCATACGCTGCGTTTGGGCAGTGTAGTACTTCTGTAGTTCTCTTTATGTACTTAAGATTCTGTCTCACAAAGTATTTTTTACCTTTCACTTGTTATTTTACTTTTTGATTATTTCTGTCCTTGAAACTCCATGAATGTGCTTTTTTTTTTTTGCATCCCCTGCAGAATGCAGGTGCTGCAGTCCTAGCGTGGTGTCCTGCAGGCTCTGCCTTGGCAGTGCTGCAGCACGCTGCACCCTGCTGAACAACAACATTGAGGGAAAGTGTATTTTATCTGTTGAGATGCAAACCGTTGTGGGACAGGTATGTCGTGAAGTCATCACAGCACTCCTGCATTTCCTGGAACACACCTGAGTGTGCTACCCAGGCTCATGAAACTGCCTGCATCTGGGCACAGCCCTAAGCATCTGCGATATTTCTGTATGCTGATCTTCAAAGAAATAACTATTCTATTACTGCTTCTTGATTTGTAGTTGAGTAGGATTCCTTTATATGTTTAGATTACTCTTTCCATATGTATTACAACACAACCAAGAGCCAGCAGATGGTAAGCCAGATAAGGGAATTGATCCAGCTGGAAAGGAGGGAGAGGAGAAAGGAAATCAGTTTGGTTTTCCTGCTATATCCTTTCCTTTATCTAACTCACCATGTAAATGCACAATAGTGAGGATGCTGCAGCATGTGCCTGGGGTTCAGTGGAAGGTAAGTCTTTGTTCAGCCTGGAGTTATGTTAGAAATCTGTGACCCTTGAACTGCAGCTGTAGTGTGGGTGTTCTGCAGGTTAGTGTCAGGTCTGTCTCCGGCTTGTGCTGAGTGCACAGACCAAAAGGAGGGCATATTTTCGCTGGTGTTACTTTGCTAGCTGCTGTCTAAAAATACTTTACAGGAAGATGCAATCCTTTCCCACTCCTCCAGCCCCACATCAGAAACTATTTTTTGGTAAAAATTTTCCAAACTTTCTGCTGACGAGGGTACAGCACTGCATAGTTTGTGATGTATAGTTCTATGTGCCCATTGGGTAGTTACAACTAGTTCGTGCTCCTTGTATGTTCCCTAAGTTACTATTCTGATTAAATTACTATTCTTAATGACAGATATAGGAAAAAATCAATACAATTTTAATTTGACATGTGACTTGTTTTATCTTTTCTTAAGCCTTACAGGATTATTATTGTTTCTGTAGACTAAACCAGGCCAAATAGCTCAAGTTAAACCTATTAGAAAGCTGGCAAGGATTTAAAGGCTCAGAACCATCTGGGAATGGGATCACACGTAGTGGTGCTTAATATAGACAGCTTTGTCATTACATATCTATTAGAGAACCAATTAATTTACACTGACCTAAAGCAGTGTTGTGACACACTTGCATATGTAAAAAGATTAAAAGTATTGTGGAGCAGAAACTCTGTGTTTTCTATATACATTTAATTTTAAAGATAAAACTGACAAACCCCTAAAACTTGGGGTGGGGGGAAAAAAAAGGCCTTTGTATGTTTTGAAAGAAAACACTTCTTCCTCTGCCTACTTTTTACTTCCCTTTGCCTAACACCTTGTTTTACTAACCTCCCCTCCACCCCAATTTATATTAGATTATAAATTCCTCAATATAAAGTCTCTTCTAGGTTTGTATAATCACTCTGCAAGGTTGACTGGGTTTCTAGGTGCATCTATAGTATAAATAACAAAGTAAAATAAAATATATATTTTGATATAATGCTAAGATAAAGCTAAATTTTAATGTGACAGACACTATTATTGTATAAGTAGAATAAAAATTTTAAATGGGAATTATTTAAGAGAACCTAAGTACTAATCTTTTTTCTTCCCATAAGAGTTCTGAGCTTTTTTCTTTTTTTTGAATGCTACTTTACATGCAGTTTAGAAATCTAAATATTGTTTAGCTTTGTAAACTGATATCGCACATATAATCTACCTGTTCAGTTCATCAAGAAGAAATATATGAAAAAGAAGAGATCGCTGGAACCTTTAGCAGTAGGCGAAATTCATTTCTGCACTTCTGATTACTTCTATGTATTATTGATGTCGAGCTCTTAGATATTGAATAGTTAAGATGATTCTTTAGGTAAGCAACGTAATAACAAAACCTTTTCTCTACAGCTTGTATTTTTATTTTTTAAACACAGAAATCAAGCACAAAAATGTAGCACCATTCTCTTTGTGACAAAATAAAGCTGCCTTTTTATTTAGTGCCGAATTGTAACACAGTCCAGATGTTACCAAAACTTTCTTTTATTTGTGTTGGTTATACAGTGGAAGAATCTGACATCATTGATCTTGAAAAACGATACTGGCTGCTAAAAGCTCAATCAAGAACTGGACGTTTCGACTTAGAAACATTTGCCCCCTTGGTTTCGCCTCCTATTCATCCATCTCTGAGTGAAGGTACGGAACTTCAATAAAACGTGCAAGGAAGTGATGTTGCTGTGGTGTTTGGCATCTGATTGTCTCCTGACATACAAATTTTAGGGCTTCAAAAGTGGGACTGTAGTTTTTTCTAAATGTATTTTAAGCTTGAAATGGAGAGAATCATTTCACTGTCGTATTTGTCGTGAAATCTGGAAGAACGAAGGTAGTGGTACTTCGTGCATTCTTGTAAGTTGCCAGGACACATGGGAAACATTCTGTACAACTTTCCCTTGCAGTTGCTTTACGTTTTTCTTTGGGTTCCTTGAGGTTCTGTAAAGTGGTAAAATACATTGCTGTCCCTGAAAGAGATAAAATAGGTAATAGTTTTTACATAACAAATAGGAGTTTCATCTGTTAACTGGCAATTCAGCAGGCAAGTCAGATGTTGTACCACACAGTTCATGAAATGGTTTTCCCTAACAGTATACATCCAGGAAGATTTTGTTCAGAAAACCTGGTCAGGAGATTTGAATTTTGCAACGTTGACATGTTAATAACCAGGCTGGTCTTTCAGGTTGAAGCCACTCTGGTAATAACTGGGGGTTATAATCATCTAATTGTCTTTTATTGCATAAAATAAGAGCATCAAGTAACATTCTACTTCCATATTAGTCTTCTCTCCAGTCTTAGAAAGGCATTTTCTTTTATCACCAAATAATCAGCTGTACTGATGAGTCTCAGTAGTAAGTAGAAAATGGATAATTCGTGTTCAGGTTAATTCATGTTCAGTAGATACAAGCTGTTGGAACACCAGAACTTATGTTCAGTTCAATAGGGATATATTGCCATATCCTGTTGCTAGTGAGTGTGTTTTATATGTTAAGTAATACAAATTTACACAGCTGTTATGAGGAAACTTGAATCGTTTCTGCACATTCTCTATGTTTTCTGAATGAGTCATTAACTTTTTATGGGATCAAAAATGTTGTATGTGTGGAATGAATAAACTCAAATCATTTGAAGGCCAGTGTAATGGAAACTCCTAACTCACTTAGGGCCAAATTTGCCAAGGTATTCAGTGATTTTCAAAATGAGCTTGTTGTGTTTTGGAAAAGTCATGATTGGCATCTGAGTACCTTTACTCTTCTGATCATGTAGCTTTTGTGAAAAATGCTTATCCTAACCACACTGGTTTAAATGCACATTTCTATAAATTAGCCGTTACACGTAAGGTGAAAGAGTAAGGCATCTGTTTAGGATTCCTTAACTCTGTTTTCCTTTGTCTAGCCACACTAGTGATCTAATTCATCTTTAAAATGGTCGTAGTAGTGATTCATTATCTTTATTACACTTGCTAAGAATGGTACAATCATAAATGTTTGTACTTCTCCTTACAAATGTAAACCATTAACACTTCACATAAATTCTAAGGATTATTGTCAACTGTTTCAGTCAGATGCTGTAACAGGAGATGCTTCTGTGGTTTGCAGGTTTGTTTAATGCCTTTGATGAAAACCGAGACAATCACATAGATTTTAAAGAAATTTCCTGTGGGCTCTCAGCATGTTGCAGGGGACCCTTGGCAGAAAGACAAAAATGTAAGTATGCAGAATGTTAACTATTAATTTTAGAGATCTTTTTTAGTTTGAACAAGTAAGTTCAGTTGTTTCCACTTTTTTAGAAATTTCTTTCACATAAGTGTGCATCTGTGAAAGGTGACAGACTTCAGAAGTTTAAAAAAATATATGTTTAAGTATGAAGGCTTCCTTTTATAAAGCACAATTAAACTGAATTCTGTATATTTTCATAACTCATCAACAGCTTCATATAATTATAAGCATGTTGGGAGAAAAAAAGCATACTTCAGAAGTTATTTTACAGTTTTCTGTGGTTAACTAGTATATTTTGTCTTGTTTACTGTCCAGTTTTCAGCTGTTTCCCTGCAAGGTTCTTCAGTTTTGAAATACCTTCATTCCACGCCTTTCCAAAGCCGTATTGCTGGAACTTAAAGGCATTTACTGGAAGTTTCTGTATGCACATATGTTCCCTGCTAAGTCACATCAGAAAACACAGCACAAAATTGCAGGAATCTAGATTTCAGTTTATTAAACACAGCTGCTCCATTTCCTCACTAACACACATGCATCCTGCCTCATCAAAACTGTCAGCACTAAATCATGTTCTTGTGACTCTGCAGACTTACATTCTGTAAGAAAAAAAAAGTTGTTGAGTAGTTCTAACATACAGGCGTAATTTCCTTTTTTCCCTCAGTTTGCTTCAAGGTTTTTGACATTGACCGGGATGGTGTGCTGTCTCGCACGGAACTTAAAGAAATGGTGGTTGCACTTTTAGAAGTCTGGAAGGATAACCGCACCGATAAAATACCTGTAAGTTACATTTATATATTTTTCTTAGTCACTTGCTTCTGTTTCCTAAAGTCATCCTTCTAAAGTAGGAATAAATGTCATGTTTCAGATGTGAATGATGTTTGAACACTGTTTCAGTGAAATACAGGCATCCTTAAACTGTCTTAAAAGAGGAGTATTGATAACTGGATGTAACTTACCTTGCATAACTTTACCCTGCCATTAACCAAAGTAGAGTTATTTGACTGTAATGTATCCTGTTTCATTTAAAGAAACCTTAGGTAGAAAAGTGCAACTGTCTGGAAGCACTCAATTGTGAATTACATAGTGGTATCATCAACATTTCTGATGGTTATATTTTTATTCTGAACACATACAGCTCCAGAGAGTGCTTTGAGAATTTAAATCTGTTTTCTAATCCTTTTGTTTGCCAAGGAACTGGACATGGATTTGTCTGAAATTGTAGAAGATATTTTGAAAATGCATGATAACACAAAGGTAGGAATTTGCTGTTTTCCTGTTATTTTTATGTCCTGGTATCTTCAGTTTATAAAATAATAATAATAATTAAATCTTCTGCTTTCTTTAAAGTAGACATGTGTCAACAGAAGAATTTTTCAAGAAATATCTGTCTTCCATTAACATGTTCTTTTGTAACTATTGTGGAAAATGTTCAATTTTGTAAGCCATTTTATTATACAAAACCAGCTGAAATTAATTTGAAGCATATACTGTTTTTGAGGCTTCGCTATGCATAATACCACTTAAGTCTGCTGGTTGACTTTTTCTGAAGAATGTTTTTTGTTTCATGTTAAAAACAAAAAAGGGGGGTAGTGCATTAATGTATCTCATGTTTTATGCTATGTGAAAAGGCACATTATCCTTTTATGCTGGAACAACTGCAGTAATTCAAAGGTTACTTAAGCATTATCATTACCAAACTGTTTTTGGTAAATAATATTATATCTAATCAATGAAGTATATTTCACAGTATTGTTTCAGAGCTAAGTATCTGTGAAACTATGGAGGCATCTGTCATGACAAAGCAACAGATCTTAGTAGTTTATAGTGTACTTTATAGTTCACTGTGTGTAAATCTTTAATTATGTTTTTTTTTGAGATGGGCACCATTATCTGCAAACAATATCCTTTGCTTCACTACTTACTAGAGGAAGAATATCTGAAAACTGTACATAGTTTGAGAAAAGCTGTAAAGAATGGCTAGAAATGCTTAGTTACTTCCTCAATAGTTCTCTTGCCTGCTTATACTTCTACAAAGTGGAAGGCAAATATTCTATTGAATTCTTTTATTACCAAAGCAGTAGAAAATACATCTTCACTGAGCTCTTTTCATCCTTTGAGGTTTTTTCCATTTTAATAAAGAGTAATTTAATAGCAGCCTCATCTCCACAAAGAGTTAAAAAAAAAAAAAAAAAAAAAGACTGAAATATCTTTCATAGAGCATCATGAATGTAGCGCTGAAAAGAGCTGATGATGCAGTAATTACATAAATTACTTTACTTAACCTCTGTACATAAGTTAGCTTTAACCTGTGAACTCTGGAGAAATGGTGTGTGAGAAGAGGTGGGCTAACGGGCAGGGCTGTAAAAATGGCTATGAATTATACTAAAAGCTCAGATTGTTACTGTCGCTGAGTTATGGAAAATCAGAAAGTAATTGATTCAGGTACTGGCCAGTGTTACGCTAGTATAACTTTACAGGTGATTGCTAATTAATAAGACTTGTGTTGTAAGTTAAGATCGTGAGGATTTGACCTGCAATTGTTTTGCCCAATTCTCAGAGGAAGACAGTGGGTTTTGCGTGTATAGGCCAGTACTCATGTGTGCAGCTCCTATAGAAGGTCAAAGCCTGAGAGTTTTCTTTCCTACCAAGTCATTACTCTGACCAGCCATGTTCTGCTGCTTCTGCTTTCATGATTTGAGGAAGTACAACTGCAGTTGAGCATGAATAACACAATGTGAATGATGTGGAGCAGGAGCAAAGGTTACACGCTGTGCAGAGTTTGACCTGAGTAATCTCCAAGCTTTTTGGTTTTCCAGGTTGAAAATAATATGAAAACTGCATCTTTCTTCTTTTATTTGATCGAGGTTTATTTTAAGAGTGGTATATGCTAATTTTTCTCAAAACACTATCTTTGTCATGCCTTGTGTGGCACATTTAATTGGCATTTTAATAGAAATAGGTTAGTGGTTTGGTTTATCCTGGCTTATCCTTTGGTTTACTCTTTCCCATTTCTTCTTTTAACTAAGCTTGGACACCTCACTCTGGAGGACTACCAGATATGGAGTGTGAAGAGTGCTCTTGCCAATGAATTTTTAAATCTACTTTTTCAGGTACGTTTAGAAGAAATTTAAACTTGAAAAATGCAGTGATTAACTTCCCAGCTTTTTGCATGGCCTTGAATTGCAGCATCAGCGTTTGTGTCAACATGCTTGCAGTGTTGTCTATTGCAATATGCTCTGTGTTTCTGCAGGCGCACATTACCTTGACGGGATGATTCTCTATTTGATTATTATTCTTTTCAGTGTATGGAGATGCCTACAGCATAATTTGTTAAAGTGAATGTAGTGCACTGTTCATGAAATGAAAAATTTCAAGTGAACCAGCAGTTAGATTTTCCATTAGAAAAAAGCAGTGTTTTTAAATGGTTGTTCTTCCAAATCTTTGCCAAGGGACACAGGAAATGAACAAAGGTATTGCTAACTCTTTACAACCGCTTTCCCTTTACGTTTTCTGTTAAAGCTGTCTGAGGAGCCTTTCATTGCTTTCTTAATGGAGCACTCCTTGAAAGCTGCGATATCATATCACTATTGTGTTGCACAAGCTGAGGATTAATTGTGCTCTGAATTTGCCTTTACTTGAGCTTGAATGGGATTTTAAAAAATCCTTAAAATAGTCACATTCTAGTGCTTGCTCACTTTGTGCAGAAAATAAGAGTATTTTCATTCAGTGCAGTTTGTTCCTTACCTGTATTCCACAGAACTAGATACTTTGAATTCAAATAATAATAATGGAGCCTTGAGATTTACCCTATTAGTATTCACTTCAGCCCCCTTTTTTATCAGGAGGTTTACAAGGAAAGTGTTTCATCAGAAAGAGGCTGTGATTTATTTATTTTTTTTAAGTTAATACTGAATAGTACACTACTGATTCTCCAGTGTATAGCCCTAGAATACTTTTAAAATCATATTTGGAACTATACTTTTCTTAGAACTTCTGGCTGAGTGAGAGCATTCTGTGGCCACACCACAGCTGGAAAGAATAAAATCAGAAAGTTCTGCTTTTTTTTTTTTTTTTTTTTCTCTGATAGCATCAGCTTTTGCTTACACTGCAACCTTCTCCAGAATGGCTGTCTTTTAGAAATACCTAAAATCAACTGTCCTACCACAACTTAAAGCTGGTTAACTGACAAATAGGTATGCAATGTCAGGGGTAGAATGAGCAAACCTTTAATGCATTTACATGATGATTTGTTGCAATTTTTGTTACACATTTCTTGTTGCAGTTTGCATTTACAGTATCTTTTCTTCTGTCAGTTGCCACATTTTCTTCTTAGACATTGTAGGTTTCATTTATTGTTACTTCCTTTGATACCTTTATCACACAAGGCACCCTCATCTCATGCTGCAGGCTGAAGAGCATACTCGCACAGGACAGCCTGCCATTGATTTGTCTGGGCATTTATTTGAACTGTCATGAGCTTCTGTGTCTCATCTGCAGACAGAAAAGCTAAGTAGTCTGAGTGGAGTGCCTTGGAAAGCTTTTCAACAAATTGGTTTGTTTGCAGCAGGGGGAGTTTATATGAAGAATCTGATATTAGCCCAGTGTAACATGACTTAAAAGGAAACATCAGAGCCAGCTGTGTTGTGTGTGCTGGAAAATCTGTTGCTTCCCAGCAGCTAATGGCCTTTGTTTTATTCAGAATGAGAAATGGTCTCTCACACTGTAATATAAATTTAAATAAGATATCTCACCAGTCATTAGAAAGCTCCAGCTGAGATGCAAATTGGTAGCCTCAAAAGAGATGTAAGGGAAAGACGATAAATCATGTTATGAGTAGCAACCAATTTGACAAATGTCTTGGAGATGAGACAGCTGACCCTCCTCCCTGCCCTGCGAAACAAAGACCTCTGCAGCCTGTGTCCCTGCGCTCTTGGCTCCCCGCTGCACGCCCTGCGGCTGGGAGCTGCTGGGGAAAAGCAGCCACACACAGGGCTGCAGACAAGGCAGGGGCAGCTCCTCTAGGAAGAGGGGAGGAAAATATTGTCTGGGACTGCTGTCCTGCACTCAGAGTGAAGGCCCGCCCAAATGGGGAGCTGGCTTAGAGGGTGGTGCCTTTTTCTTCATGTATTTTTTTAAGAAAGAAAAGAGCAAAGAAAACAATTGTTAGAGAGCAGCTTTTACCAAATTTTCCATGGTGACACGTTGGTTGGACTGCTATAAGCTTCTCCCTTGGTCTCTTCATGTGCTAGTTTTCCTTTCAGTCCCTTTTGCAACCACTTCTTTCCATTTGTCCCCTTTCAGTGTTCACCTTTAGCTTATCCTTTTCCACCATCTGGCATTCTCTTCGTTTTTCCTTTCCTCTGCCCAGTACATAAACGTGTCTTAACCTTTTGTATATCCAGTCCTTGTCAGTTACTGTGATCTTTCATACTGTGTGCCTTTCTTCAGACATGAAAGTAATGAAAATTCATTTTGTAATCACGTTAATTTGCCTTGGAGCATTTGATATTCTCTGCATCTTTGTTTAACAATGGAAACGGGTTGTGAATCTCAAAGCTCCAAATGTTTCTGTTTAGTGTTTTGTTTGATTGTAGCTTATCTTGCTACATAGCTAAAAAAAGAATTTTCTGAAAAGTCCCATTAAAGGTATTATTTTCTTTCATTTATCTAAGGCTTGTTTCACATTGGTGCATCTCTTAATAAAAACTGCCTTTCTTTTTCCAGGTGTGTCATATAGTTTTGGGGCTACGACCTGCCACTCCAGAAGAAGAAGGACAGATTATTAGGTGTGTTTTTTGCTCTAAATCCTTAACAGGTGATTCAGAATCACCTTCTAATATTTTCAAAAGAAGGATTGTAACTTCCCTTTTTCAACTAATCCTTCCTTCATGTTGTTCATGTTTGCAGAGGCTGGTTAGAAAGAGAAAGCAGATACGGCCTTCAGCCAGGGCACAACTGGTTTCTTATTGCAATGCCATGGTGGCACCAGTGGAAGGAGTATGTCAAATATGTAAGTACAATAGCAATGTATACTGAATAAGGGAATTCTTCATATGTATGAATGTGTTCATGAAAAAAGAGTGGAAGAGAATTGTTTTGCTGAGTCATTGTGTCACAGTGAACTTTTCACTATAATTTCATTGAACAGTCACCTTTCTGTTTTGTTTCAGCATTCCTGATTGTCAAAACACGTTTGAAGTAAAAACGTACTCTCCCAATAGTACTTCCCTGAAGTCGTTTGTCCTGTTTGATAACAAAACTACTTGTTTTGGTTTTGACTTTGCACTTTAGGGCCATGGCATGGTTCCTGTGCTACAAATGCATACTGTTTTTTGGACAGGCAAAGGAGGGTATTGATATAATCTCACTTGCAGGCAATGACGAAAGTAGTCCAATACCTGATAATGATCAAAGGAGTCCTGCTAAAACCTTATGTTACATGTTCTTTAAGACCTTCCAACTAAAATATTCAAGTTAAAACTTCTATGTGAATTTTATGTCCATGCCAAGGAAAGCATGCTTAATAAAATTGATTTAAGATTGAGATTAATACTCTTTGCAGGTGACGCAACCAAGAATGTTAGAATATAAACTATTTCTCAGAAGAGGTTTATGTAGTTACAAGGTGTCACATAAGTATTTGATTTAAAAAAAATCAAATAACTAAAAAGGTTTAGAAATTTCAATGTATGCATTAAATAACAATGTAATTACAGTTATTCTTTGTGTACAATTAGTTGGACAAATGATGGCTTAAATGACTGAAATACTAGGCAATTTGATTCTTGTTATACTAGGAGTACTCAGATGTGCATGTGACTTCATACCTACTACTTTGCATAATAGCAAAATGCCATTAGTCACTCTGTCTGCCTCTTGAGCAAAGAGAGCACTCAGAATTTCCATGGAATTGTATAAATGATTACTGGTATTACAATGCCAGTCTTATTATTCCAATTTTAGACTTATTTTTATACTTTTAGCCTTACTGCACAGCTTTGTTAGTTGACAAGATGCTGTGTTTAATGATGTGATAAATAGGGGACAGTATAAAACGGTGAATGTCCCTTTTTCCACTGTTGTTACAATGGTGTCCGTTGCATGGACGTTTTGTTTCCCTCTAAAGTTCAGTTAATCCCATTTTTCTTCTTCTCTCATTTATTGAAGCTTCTTGTTGCGACTAGCATGCTAAATTGGATAGGATTCTTCTTACATTTTGTCTGTACTGGGCAGGCAAGTTTTGCTTACAGGGGACACAAATTTCATTCTCCACCTTTGTTTTTGCCAAAGTGTGAGCCAGATTGCTTGCACAATGCTGCTTCTCCAAAGGAATAAAATAAGAACTCTTTTACATCCTGCATAGCACAGGAAACCTTTAATCATGGTAATCCCAATTACTAATATATCTGTTAATAACAAGATAATTGTGGTCTGTAGTTTCATCAGTTCATATTTCTCATCCTCTTCTGATACTTAGGTGTTTCTGTGATTGATCAAAACAGAAAATTAGGGAAAACTAAATTGATGCAGGTTTGAGAGAAGAAGGTGTTTTGCTCTTCTGCATGCTGCTCTTGTTTAACCATACAAAATTCAACAGGGACCAATCTTCAAATATTTATAGCCTGTTATAATAGTTATCTAAAATGGTTCCCTTTTTATGTATCTAGGTAGAGAAAGTAATTCTGATCTTTCACCATTTTTATGTTGTGCAGAAGAGTATTCCACTGCTTTAACAATTTTAGCAGTTTTTTCTCTGACGAGTTTTCATCTGTAGATGTATAAAGTTGTGTTTGTTGTTTTTGTTGTTTGTTTTTTTTTTTTTTCTGCGAAGCTCGTGATATGTGAAAGTGGTTACGCAAATTTTGGTAATGGGTTTGGTTGTTGTTGTGAAGTCTTTGATACTAGCTTATAAATAACTTTTCTACTTGCCTACCAATTCTAGGATGCAAACCCTGTTGTGATAGAGCCTTCATCTGTCTTGAGTGGAGGTAAGAATTCACTCATAGCTGCTGCAGCCAATACTTCAGAACAGGGAGAAGACAAAATGGGAGGTCTTAATTACTTCAGTGCAACAGAAGAAAAGTTTTCAGATAATATTTCTACTGCATCAGAAGCCTCAGAGACTACTAGCAGCAGTAAGCATAACATCTTATTTCCTTGGAGGTTTAATGTAGAACAAGTTTTGAGAAACTACATGCTGCATGGATTCCTCCAGACAAAAAGATAACAAAGTTTAGGTTGCAGAAGTGTCCTACGTGTGGATGTCAATGGATTGCTAGGAATTTTTAGCTTCTTGTATAGAAACAACAGGCAGTCGCATTTACACAGCAATTCATCTTTTGTCCTATGAGCAGTTTCCAGAATTATTTTCAAGATAATTTTTTCATTTAACTTATGTTCTGAGTGATATTTTTCTCCTATTTACATTAAGTTATTTCTGGCTTAATCCTAGTTGGTATTGTAGTATGTCTTGCAGTGAGATTTCTTCTCATCTTCACAGTAAATGAGGTAAAAAAAAAAAATAGGCAAAACAATCTTTAATTTTACAGCACATGTCATTTATTGAGCTTGTATAGATTCTAGGAGCCACCTTTGTGAAAGAAAAAGAGCTTTTAGTGATGATTTTCAGTCAGTTCTTATGAGAATTATAAGACAGCTGAATATCACACCTGGTGTTTTCAGATCTGTCTTACCATGACCCTTTTGAGGGTGAGGAATAGGGGAAGGTTCAGGAAGGGAGACAAGTTTTAGATTAAAGGTTCTTTATTTTTTTCTTTAACTTGAAATTTAGATTTATCGTCTGAATAACTAGAGCATGTTCTATAAGAAAAAAAGCCTTCTTAAGGAAAAAAAGTAAAAATAAAACATTATTGCTTGTGTTTTCAATTTTGTATATAAGATTTTCAAGTTTGATATTCAAACATCTAGAAAACAAGCAAATGCCAAAAACATTTGCTCACGCAAACCTAGTTAGGCTGTTTTGAAACCAGCATTTATGTAAGTATCTGCTTTGCGAAGTAGAATTCATATAGCCAGTTATTCACCTTTTCTGAGAGCGCTAGTATATTTGTTACTCTATAATTAGGAAGAGTTGCATATTTTACTGAAGTATGAAGGATAGGAGACTGCTTCAATGGCCTTTAAAAAATGTAAAAAAGGATATCACAGTTTAACTGATCCATTAATGTTGTGTGGGTGGAGTCACTAACTGAAACAGAGATTTTTTTTTTCACATTCTGTCACAGATGCTCTTTACCCTGGCACACCAGGGACTGATGTATGTTTCGCTAGGCAGCATAATACTTCAGACAACAATAACCAGTGTTTCCTTGGAACCAATGGGAATTCTTTGCTACAACTTAATCCTCAGAAACCAGGAGCTATTGATAACCAACCCCTTGTAACGCAAGAACCAGTGAAGGTAAATACACCTGACTCAGGCAAATATAGGAAAAGTATGTTTTAACATACTTTTATCATAGCTTTTTGTGTGTTTCTTCTTTTCAGCTAGTGGCTGAAGTCACAGATCAGTACTATACTCTATGAGTATACATTGTATTTTTCTATGCTATACTTGAAGCTGTTGGAGTAGGTGACACAAAAGAAAAACATAATATGGCTTTTATAATGGGCAGTCTTTTAGAGAAACAGTAAATAGTGAAACATTAGCATTAGTTATTGTATTATTGTATTAGTTATAGTATTGTATTTACAAACTGTGGTATGAAAAGCAGTTGCTAATTACAATTTAAAGTGCTTTAATAATTAAAAAGGGTTCTTTGTTCATGAACTAAAATTGTTGTAGCTGTACACTATTTTTTGCACTTGAGATTTGACAAAATCCTTTTTTGTGTAAAAGGCTGCATCATTAACAATGGAGGGTGGAAGATTAAAGCGATCACCGCAATTGATTGAAGGGAAGGACTACATAATGGTACCGGAGCCCGTTTGGAGAGCACTTTACCATTGGTATGGAGCAAATCTGTCCTTGCCCAGGCCGGTAAGTTGTGAGTATAAGCACTGTTTACTTGCCATAAAAACTTAAATGCATTTAACCTACTAGATAATATTTCAACTGTTCTACAAGGAAAAATAGAAAAAAACAAACAAACAAAAAACACCACAACAGTAAAGTTAAAACTGGGACACCTGTTGCTTTGAAATGGCATTTCTTATCTCAATTTCATGAAAATGGAGAGAAGGGAACAAAGGCTGTCCTTCAGTCACAGTACTATAGAAAACACAATGTACATGACTTGGTGGAGTTCTAGAAGAATAGATACCAATATGAGCCCAATAAAGAAAGCAGTCAAGGACTATTTTTTTATGAAATGATTGCCTACAAGCACTACCAATTGTTATTTTGAGATCATACATTTAAAATAAGTAGTTCTTTTTTATCATTATTTTTCTAGTATTCTGATAATTGCTCTTTTTTTTTTTTTTTAAGAGTAAATAAAAATCCTGCTGCTGAGGCAAGCAATTATCATTCTTTTTCTTCAGCACAAACTCAGTAACACTCCTCCAAACTTACGGAATACTCATTTACTCATTTGCCAGCAAATAATTCATATGTAGTGAATTAATACATTTATTGTATTTTTACAGTAAGCAGAAAAACCAACGAATTGCAGTAACATTGTGAAATAGATTTACAATTAACATAAGTATATTCATTGTGTAATAGAAAATGTATTTCCAAATTGGTAATGTTGAGGTTTTATATCCACAATTATTTAATTGCCTGTAGTCACTTAGAACCTTACAAAGAAACTGACTATTTAGTGAAAGCCTATGAAAGTTAAGGTGACATTTGTACTTGTTTGTATAAAAGTTTTCTTAAAAACCTTTGAAAAATTGAGTTTTTGTAACTAATACTAGTATTTTCTATATTAAGGTTGTAATATTCTTAATTAAAGATTAATTTGGGGCACAATGCTGAATTTAATTTTTGAATGTGTGAAAGTGTTCTGTGTTAAATGGAATTGACTAAGTGGACTAATAATTACTCTGCGTTATCCCAATGAGATATTTTTTGGTTGCAGTTAAAACAATATTTCTGAAAGAGAAGCACTAATTATATGGAAACAGTGTTAAATCATATAATTTGCTCACAGCTTATTGGGCTATCTCTGTTTCTTTGTATGTATTATTGCAAAATGATTAACCGGTCATAATCATGTGGAACCAAAGCAGGCATGCCTTGAGTTATTAATATTCAACGTGTCAAAAAGTAGACTGATCTTAAAGCTAAGAAAATTATAGTAATTTGCTCACAAGTAGAGGCATTGGAACTCTACTTGTTTAGTTTCTGTTGAAAAGAAAGGTATCCCATACAGGGGTTTATTTCTTCTGTGTCCTAAGCTACACCTTAATATTTAAATAAGGAAGCGAGCATTTTTTTTTTTTTTGATGGTAGCAATAGAGATTAAGCGAACATTTATTCTTGAATGATGGCAGGATTTTAGAGACCAGTCTGTGGTTCTGCCTTCAAAGATCTGCTTTCACTGCAGCCCTTAAATTATTAACCTTGGGAGTACACCTAAAACCAAGGTGGTTGCAGAAGGCTGTTACTGTATTAAAAATTCTCTCGCATGAGGTGTGGAGCTGGGTTCCAGAAGGAAACAGCCAGCCTGCACCTCTGAATAGGATGCAGCTTAGAAGCCCTAAAATTGAAAGACAGTGATTGAAGATGGGAGGAATTTCTATTTTGAGAGGGATCACAGTGCTCAGACAAAAAATAACTTCTCTAGAATAGCTTGGGTAGATCTTCTAGAATTTTTGCTTTGATTCTTGGTGTTTTGTGGAAGTGTCTGACCAGGATTTCTCCGAGACTTGACCGGACAATGTCCAAGCGTGATTGCTACGTCAGAAACTTCCCTGATTCCTAGCAGATGTGACTGGAGACACTCACATCCAGTTAGGTAGCCCCAACAACTTGCAGTACCATTTGATCATAATGGCACTAAGAATTCATGTATGACTGCCAAGCTGTACTCACCTTTTACCGTTCTTCAATAGAATTCACCTTGTAGTCAGCCAAAATCTCAGGATTCCAGGACTGCCTGTATATAAAATACTTTTAATAAGGTGTGAAGCGTTTTTAAGCCTGCTAGATGAAAATGTTTATATAAGACAGGCCTCATTTTAAAATGTTTTGATTCCAAACAGATTTTAAGTTGTGTTTTTCTTCTTTTTTTTTTTTTTTTTTGGTATTAGTTTTGTGTTTCATGTTAGAAATGGGTGAGAATTTGCTGTATGATTTTTAATGATTTGATCTGTTAGCCATAGTATTGACAAGGATTTTACAGTGAAAAATCACTGGCTTCTGCTACCCTCCTCCCACACGTTCTCCATGGAAACAAACACCTTTCATGATCCAGAAAGGGCACATCACTTTATGCACAGCGCAAACTAACGTGCTTAAGATTTTTGCGATAGTGCCATTAGAAACAAGACTTCTATTCAGAATGGAAAAAAAATGAGTTTAGATATCTTGCCTGTAAAAATGTCAATAGTGGATGTGTAAACTTCAGCTTTTCAGTTCATAATTAAAGAATATTTTGAGATGCAGTTATCTGAACTCCTGAATTTATGGAGGGAATTGGGTTACATGTGGCCATATATATGGGGAGTGCAGGCTCCTGCCTTCAGCAGGGACCATCAGGGGGCTTCTTTCCAGAAGATGTTTTTGTTGTAGCTGAAGTTTAATACCATGACACTTCAGTGCATTATGTTGCTTCTCACAGCTTAAGCTGAGTGTTTTCTTCTGATTGTCATTTTCACAAAAATAGTTGTCCTGTTATTTATGTACATCAGCATCGGGCAGATCTAGGTAGCAAAATCTTTGTAGGAATGTTGACTGGAAAGCCACAAGTCACGTTCCGGGGAAATTTCAGCTATTTCTGTTGGTGTATCAAAATGCAAAGTAAGTTTTAATATATCCCTACAATATGAAGTTGTGAATTCAGTACTGTAGTTCAAAAAGAACAAATGTCTTAATGTCGTGATTTTTTTTAACAGTTGTGAACCTTTTGTGTTGAAGTATAGACTGAGTGGAGTTAATGAGGTTCATTGTAAATTCAAGTATATTTCAGGAATGGTAAGAATGTTCTTTCCATAGTATTGCACAGGAAACTATGCTTCCACTACATAAGGTGTTTGCTTTTGCTAGTCTGAAACTAATAAGCTTCCAAAAGTACTTAGAAATCAGTAAATTTTTATCGCTGTGAATGTTTGCCTAATACCCCATAAGAAGTTCAGAGGATTTCTTGTCTCCTAGTAAAACATAATTATTTTCTATCCCTCCACTTTAATCATTACTTCCTGTTCCTAATAGGATTTCCTACGTGTTTGGAACAGGAGTCTCTGAACTGTGTTTTAAATGTCTTTACTAGGTGATCAAAAACAGCAAAACAAATGTGCCTGAACTAGAGTTATTTCCTCGCTATCTGCTCTTTCTGAGACAGCAGCCTGCCACTCGAACACAGCAGTCAAACATCTGGGTGAATATGGGTATGATGAGCCTGAGAATGTTTCCTCAGCATTTACCTAGAGGTAACTTAAGAATGCAGCAAGAATACAAGCGTGCAGTTTCTAAGAAAGCGAGACCCACAGCTGTAGAAGCGAGCTTGCTGCCACTGTGCTTGCACACCAGCTAATCAACTGTAAGGCACAATCAGCGTTTGGTAAAAATTTCAAGGCTTTCCTTCTATCTCCTTTTGAAAGGAAGAGGCTTGAGAGGGAGCGTTTCCAGTGCAGTCAGTTAAGTTGTGTAGTTACTGCAAATAGATTGGTGAATTGAAAGTGAGAAATGAGCACTGCATGAAATACAGAGCTAAGATCTGGTAATTCCCTCTGGCAGTTAATTATGTAGCCAGGGTACATGCACCTGTGCATTGGGGTGTGTTTCTGATAGTAAATAATGAAGTAAATCATTGTTCAGCCAACTGGTTCTGAGTTACTCAGGCAGCTAGACTTTAATGCCCAAAATTATTTAGTACCCTTTAAAAAGGGGCTTAGTTAATGGAATATGGAGATGATTGCTTGATACAGTTTGGAAAGACATTCAAAAGAAAATAAACATCCCACTAAAATACCGTAATTGTGGTGTTAATGCTCACCAAAAGATTGTCCAAGTAATAAGCTATAAGAATAATCTTTATCTTGTAGCTTTGCATGTCTCTGCTGGCAAGTGTTACAGGGATTTATTTTCAGTAATTGGTTTGTGTGTCGTTACATACGTGGTTTATACAAGAGGTCTGAAGAAATACATGATTTCCACATATTACGTGCATTTGGATACACACAAATTGGGCATGCACAGTAACATATCTCCAGAAGTGGGCTCACCTGACTACTGAAAACTAAATCCTTCTGCCTTATTACTGTTAGTGTATGTTTAAAAATCTCATGCAGATGCTCAGTTTTTCACTGCTTTGATAGAATCTCAAACTTAACCTGTAAATGGTGGCTGCCTGTTTGATCGAGTTCCGCTACAGAAACTGCCTGCTACCAAATTCATTTTTCGTATTGACCTAATAAAATAAAAATTGTTTTGTTTGGACTTCCTAAAAGACTGAAAGTCAAAGAGAGGGAACTTTCTGACATGACAAATTTGATCTTGATTTGTAATTATTTTGCTCTTCACTAATTCATTTGCCCAATCAATTATTAATCTTTTTGAGTTTTCAAATGTGCTTTCTTGCTGTAATCTTATGACTAATCCTCTGATCCTTAATCTCAGAAAATGCTTTTTTGTGTTCCTTTAAAAAATAAATTAGTATTTTGCCTTGTAGCCTGAAACAGAACTGATGCTTTGCTGACTTACAATTACAGTATAGTTTTACTCTCTTGTCAAATTGCATGTATAACTGCATCTTTTCATTCAGTACTAGTTAATTGTATTCTTTTAATGATGAAAATAGAACAATGTCAAATCTGTAGTTATTTAAGTAAAGCAATTGCCCAGCCAGGCTCTATAACACAAGCTTCTTATTAATACGCTACGGACCTGGCTTTGTAGGAGTGGGGAACTTCCTTCCCCTCCCTTAGGTTAAACTAAAGAAGCTCAGAAAATAAAACAAATTTGGTCTCATCTGTTTCAAACTGCACTTTTTAAAATGTTCTGTTTAAAGGTGAGCTTGTTTTATAGAAAACAGCAACAATCTTGACTGATGGAATTAATTTGTGTTCCAAAGATGAGATTGTTTAGGAATGCTGGTGAAAATCATAGGCATCTTCATAGAACATGATTTGAGGCTCTTAGTTACAAAGAGTACTTTTATTGTCAAACTGCCAGGCTGATTTCATCTTCGCAGGTCAGAGTTCATCCCACAGAAGAGCTGGAGCAAAGTCATGCTACTCCCAAGAGAGTCAGCCTGATTTTTATTGTATTTTAACCTTATTTTTAACTGACAGTTTGCTCTCAAAAGAAAATATCCGTGACATTTTTTAAGCACTTTATTTTGTAAATTACTATTGTCTTCGATACTTTGTCTTAAAGAGGAAAAAAAAAAAGAGTAGTCCAGACATTTAAAAATTTCTTTTCAATTATTTCCTGTGAGAATCTTAATGGAGTGGTTTTCTAATAGGGTTGGGTAATAAGGGAGATGAGTCTATTGTCTTTGCAATAGCAAGCTTGTTCTGTGCCGATCCGAGACATCCCCGAGTGTTGGTAACAGCTAGCTTTCATTTCATTACTTTATCCGAAAACAAAAGCAGAACTGTGTACTTTTTTCACCAAAAAAAAACAACTTAGAGTCCGCATAGTGCGTAAGTTGTTATTTACCTGGGTTTTATTTCAGTGTGCATATGGGTATATATGTTATCTTTTGCTCTTTTCTTATGGTTGCAAATCCAGGGAATGTACCTTCACCGAATGCTCCTTTAAAGAGAGTCTTGGCTTACACTGGCTGCTTTAGTCGAATGCAAACGATTAAAGAGATACACGAATACCTCTCTCAGAGGCTACGTATAAAAGAAGAAGATATGCGCCTCTGGTTATACAACAGTGAGGTAAATGTCAGTCTTTTTAGTTTTTAACAGCTTTTGAATATTGTATATCATATTCTTTTGTAGATACTATTAAACACATGCACAGAAAAAAAATAGCATAAGTTTTCTTTGAGATTTAACCACCCAGGTTGGAAAACTTGGGCCAAAATGTGTAAAGGTTTTACTCATGCCATTTTTTAATTTTTGTGCGCTCCAAGCAGTGAAATTTAGGTTTTTGTGACATTAGCCTGATAAACATCAATTTATCCTGTGTTTATAAAATGGCAGTTGGCTTACTGAATAATACTCTTGCTATACAGTTTAATAGAAACTGGTTTAGATCGAAGTAAAAATCTGTGCTTTCATTGGCCTGCATAATGCTGTAGGCTTCTGTTGACACAGCCAGCAGCCATTCAGGATCTCTTCACACGTGTATGTGAAGAAATCAAATGAGCAAGCAGAATGTATTCCTCCAAACCCTGAAGTGTGTATAGTTTTGTCATGCTAAAGCAATGCCATGTAAAACTACAGCACTGAAATAAATCCTTGTGGAGATCAGTGAACTGCTGTATTTAATTAATTTTGCTTAATTAATTAGGGAACTGGTACTCTTATTTATGTGAAAAAAATATTAATACTATTTTAATTTCATTGCTTTGAGATTAAAACATCCTTAGAGAATTTTCGGTCTAGAAGTAATAACTATATGAAGTATTTTTCTCCTGCAGAACTATCTTACTTTGCTCGATGATGAAGATCACAGATTGGAGTACCTTAAAATCCAAGATGAGCAGCATTTAGTAATAGAAGGTATAAAAAGAGCATGTAAAGTTGTTTACACACTAAGAGCAAATAGTTTTTTTATGAGTCTATATATTCTTAATAGACTGTGTAAGTACATAGTTGTGAAATTGTCCAAACTGCTATACAAATACATTAGCCTAGTGCCCAAATATTTAATCTTCGGAAATATTTTGGGAAGGAATAGTATGTGTACATTTCTGTCTGTCTGTATATACTGAGAAAAATATAGGAAGAAGTACCAAAGCTACAAATAATGTACTATATCTATAGTAGTAACTAGAACACCAGAGATAAAGCAAAACCCGTGTGATGCACCTGATGCTTTTTGTTGTGTCGTCCCCCCCCCCCCCCCCGATTTTACAAGAATGCGTTCATACAAAGCAAAAGATGAAGAAAACTGCACGTTGCAGTCCATACCAGGTTCATTTCTAAGAATTTCATTCATTATAAGCTGCCTTTATTTTCTCATCTGGAAAGAACCTAACACATTTGGACTTGGCTGCTTGACTGACTGTCCTCATGGTGAAAATGCCTTATAATCAATCGATACCTTTCTTTTTTCAATTTCTGTTGCATCTTATCCTTCTGCCATGCAACACTGTGCCTGGCAGAGTAGTTTCAGTCACAAATGAATCAGGCCTTTGCTGGAGGTGCATGGATCAGCTGACTTTTTAACTAGCTTGACCTGACTTCTTGTCTACTCTTATTTCAAGAAACAAAAGTGTGCCTACTGAAAATAATTTTATGATCTAAATTTAAATATTTGCAAATTTTACTTAAGTCTCTTTATCTGTATAAGTTCTCTGGAATAAGTAGTAAACAAAAATCTTATACCATGTCTCTTTCTAGTTCGAAACAAAGACATGAGCTGGCCTGAAGAGATGTCTTTTATAGCAAACAGCAGTAAAATAGACAGACATAAAGGTAAGTACTTGAGGTATGGTGAGAAGAAAAATCCAAGAGGGTATATTATGTTGAAAGTCTTTTTAATCAAATTGCTGTTAACATTGGAAGAGGTCTTTTATGCCTTTGCAGCTTTGCTTGTTCTTTCTGTTTTATTAACATAGCTGCTAAAAAGTGTGAGGGTTGGATGTATAGACAGATGAATATTCAGGTGCAGCAGTAGCAAATTCTGGATTCAGTGTTTATTATATTTTTTTATTTTTATTTTGTTTTAAGGTGAGGAATAGTTAAAATTTTAACAAATGACTCCAGAAGTTGCAGTACCATAATTATTTAGCTGACAGTCGTTTATCTGGCTTGTACTGATATCCATGGTGGATGGAATCCAACAAAATACTTAATTACCTCAATTTCTGTTGACTCGAGTTGAGAGAGCAGATATTTTGAACAGGCTGATCCTCTGTAGCATCTGTGCTAGTTGTAGTCTAAGTGGGAGCATGTTAAATTGTTCTGGTTGCAGTGAAAAGGTCACATTCTCAGCTTCACTGATATACCATTCCTCACTAATTTTTCACATCTGCAGAAGTGACATAATTATGTTTCCTTCTTCTCAGTTCCTACTGAAAAGGGTGCAACTGGATTAAGCAATCTGGGTAACACATGTTTCATGAACTCCAGTATCCAGTGTGTCAGTAATACACAACCTCTGACACGGTATTTCATCTCAGGAAGACATCTTTATGAACTTAACAGGTAATCTGTTTGAGACCTTTGGCATTTAGATATCGTAGCTGATTTAAGATCAGTTTCAACTTTCAGAAGTAGACAATATGAATAAATTCTTTAAAGTTTAGTATTATCAACTATCAGCTATACAACAGGTACTAGCTTGGATATGTGAAACTATAAACTCTCTTGTTTCTGGAAGAGCTAAAACAGTTCAGCATGAAGCCTTTGTGCTTCCTTGTTTAAAACTCATGCTTATGGTATTAATTACTTCATAAATTCTAGGACAAATCCAATAGGAATGAAAGGACACATGGCCAAATGCTATGGGGATTTGGTTCAGGAGTTGTGGAGTGGGACTCAGAAGAACATAGCACCATTAAAGTTACGGGTAAGTCTGCAATGTGTGTTATTGAAAGGTAGAAAGCAAGAATTTCTTTGAATAGTGGAAATCTTTTAATGCACTTTTCCCTGGTGTTAGCTGTATTGGTTCTGGGACTCAGATTGCTGTCTCCCTAGAGGAGGAGAAGGAAACGTGGACACACATTCTGTGTGTTAGAAGTTGGCTGTGAAACCACAAGCATGTGCTAGGAAGACAGTCATCACGTGCATTGCTCCAAACTGGTCACAGAATTTAATCTTTCAGGAAAGGGCTGTGTCAGGACAAAATGCCCATGTGGAGGAGGTCAGGGTGTGTGCGTCCTGGTGGTCAGGACTTGAACAGCTTTCTGTTGAATGTAATCATGGTTCAGCAGGTGTAAGCTCAAAAGAGTTAACTGATATGAATCAGAGGTTGTGGCGTAAGATGTGGATTTTTATAGCCCTTGTTAGGAACAAAAGATAATGCATTTACCTGTAAATGATCTTTTGTTCTGAAAGCATAGGGAGTTGTCTCTCTCTTGGCAATTACATTTCTGCTTGTTGACAGCGTGCATCTTCTCTTCAATATTTTGATTTATTTTTACAGCTTTTGTCATGTAACATTAAGTAACTTTCTGTCCTTTTTGTAGTGGACTATAGCAAAATATGCTCCAAGGTTTAATGGCTTTCAGCAGCAAGACTCACAGGAGCTTCTAGCTTTTCTTTTGGATGGTCTTCATGAGGATTTGAATAGAGTTCATGATAAACCATATGTTGAACTGAAAGATAGTGATGGTCGACCAGACTGGGAAGTAGCAGCTGAGGTATGGGGTAAAGCTTTTGTTGTTGTTGTTTTGGATTTTTGTTTGTTGGTTTGGTTTGTTTGTTTCTGTTTCCCCCTCATAACACCTAGTTGCTAGAAATTACTTTGTTTCTCAGGAAATCTGAAGTTATTGATGAGCAAGTATGTGACAATATTCTTGCAGGAATGGGCCATCTTTTGAAACTTGTTAGATCTATGATTTAAGGAGTCAGTTTCATCATTGTTCTGAAAATGAGCTTGTTTAAATATTATGATAAAGGTATAAAGATAAAATCTTTCAATCATTTTGAATGATTCAGAGTAATGAATATCAAAATTTGTCAAGGTAATGATCCTTTCAGAAGTACTTGAAATGATGTCATACCTTGATTATTGTGTTAAGGGAAATAAATTTTCTTTATTCTTGTTGAAACTAAATACTTACTCTTTATTATAAATCAGTAAGACACATCTGTGGAAAAGTATTTGAGTTCCATAGGCTGACACAACTTGCTGGTCTTCCAACACATCCTCTTTCCTGTAGTTCAAGCAGTAGTCCAGTTTCTAACTTTGTGTTATTTTCCTGCAATTTGTTTTAGGCCTGGGAAAACCATCTGAGAAGAAACAGATCCATTGTCGTAGATTTATTTCATGGGCAGCTGAAGTCACAAGTAAAGTGTAAAACTTGTGGACATATAAGTGTTAGATTTGACCCTTTCAATTTTTTATCCTTACCTTTGCCAATGGATAGCTACATGCACCTAGAAATTACAGGTGAGTGATGGTATTTGTTGCAGCACACACAAGTTTATAGGGAGTTAAAAACTGCATATAGAACAGATTTTCAAGGAACAGCTCTAAAACATCCAAATTCTGTGTCAATATTTGTACTTTAAAAATAGTAGCATTATTTTAATGTAAAAGAAATAAGAATTTTCACTGGTTAAACTAAAATAAAAGCTTTAAAAACAGAGCATACATGGTCCATTTCCTATCCTGACTAAAAAACTTAAAACAGAAACAAGTAAATTGAGGTTTTGAGAACTTCACTTCTATTCACTGAAAATCGGTGTTGTGGACGTTGTCCTAAAACTGTGTAGGGTGAAAAAGAGAGGCTTGTGGTCTAGTGGACAAATAAAAAAATACTTCACAGTTTGTGAACTACACTATGAGCAACCAATATATTGTTGGAAAACAGGCAAAAGGAAAAATGATAAAAAGCTAAAAAAAAAATTCAAATCCATTTTCTACTGCCGGTGCAGCAAGGGATTTTCTGACATTTGTCTGCAGATCTTGAAAATTGCCTGATTATAAAATAAATAAATTAATTAAATTAAAAATATAAAAATCAGATTTTAGTGGGAAAAACTTACTTTCTAATAAGTAAGTAGGTGTAATGTGTTATTCTCATTAAATCTTTCCTGGTTTGCTGACCAGTGTGTTTCTTTGTCCCCTTCAAAGTAATCAAATTGGATGGTACTACGCCTGTTCGATATGGCCTGAGATTGAACATGGATGAAAAGTATACGGGTTTGAAAAAACAGTTAAGTGAACTCTGTGGGCTGAAACCAGAACAGATACTCCTTGCAGAAGTCCATAGCTCCAATATAAAGGTAAAAAGAAAAAAAAATGCTGCAAAATACTTATTGTCTTTCTGATTATTCTTTGACATATCTGCAGTGTCTTCATGCTTTTTGATATTAAGCTTTGCTCACAAGAAATGTGAAGTAATTTAACTGAACGTGTGATTAAAAAAGTGAGCTTGGTTTTATCTCTATATGAACTTTATTTAATTCATGTTTCACTTTTAAGCTGTTATTTGGCTTACGTCAAATAGGTTTAAAACCAAGTAAACTGAGCCAAGATAAATCACTTGTAAATAAAATGAAAAATGATGTGGAAGCTCAGAGAAGTTGAATTGATTAATAATGATATTTAACGAAAACATGAGAAAATCCTCTTGAGGTAATAGATCTCAAGTTAGAGTGCTATGATGAGCTTTACACACCATCAAGAGGTTGGAGACATAAATGATACCTGGCTTAGTTCTGTACACTGGCTATGTATGTGTTTACATCCATATTTTGGTTTGCTGTTATTGAATAGGATTTAAGCTAGGGGCTTACAGTCTAGAACCAGTAATGCCTCTCAGGTCTTGCTGCGGCGCTCTGCAAAGTCTTGTGCTTGTTGGCTCTCCTTTATCAAGAAAGGAGTAAAAAAGCAGATGGGAAGGGAGAGATGATCTGATAGGCGTACTGATTTTTCAAAAGAACAAAACATAAAAGGAGTTGCAGATAAAAGCATGTACCTATCTGACTAACTTTTTCCCTGTTTGCAATGAAGAACTTTCCTCAAGACAACCAGAAAGTCCGGTTATCAGTGAGTGGGTTTTTGTGTGCATTTGAAATACCCATTCCAGGATCACCTACATCAGCATCAAGTCCTGTGCAGACAGGTAAAAGAACACTTTTTTTCCTGTTCACTTAAAACATACAGTGCTTGGGTACTGCAGAAATTCAGGAGAAAAACCTTACTACTAAATACAACTGAAAAAGTCAGGCATAAAGAAAAGCCAGATAAGTCCAAGTTTGATGCACAGAGAAGCTGTGAGCAGTCTCAGTGCCTGCTGGTGTCCTGTGATCCTGTTAGGGTTGTGCCCAGGGCAGTAGTCTGAAGATCACAGTATACTCATTTTAGTTAGAAACATGCAAAATATTTTCTTGCTTGTGGATTGGCTGTAAAGTAGGATGTATAAATATTGGAAGTATTGGCTTCTGTTTTGTTGTCTGTGTTTTCACGTATGGATCGTAAACACCTCTATTATTCCTTGTTCTTGCATACTCTGATTTTTCAAAGTTTTAGGCAAATAAAAGATTATGTATTGGTGTGAAGGAGAGTAGCAGATATTTCATGAAATGCATTGAACAGAGTGGAAGGCATGAGGAACTTGTGATAAGTTATAGATGCTGTAGATAAAAGCGAGAATGTAATTTTCTGTCTACAGATACCTCGACTGGATCATCAACTAACGGAGCACCCAACATAATGATGAATGGGGACCTTCCCAAACCAACCCTGATTCCCAACGGAATGCCAAATACTGTAGTGCCATGTGGAACAGAGCGGAACCTTGCCAACTGGACTCTGAACGGTCACGTGCCCTTGATTTCTGACAGTCCGTGTACAGGGTATATAATTGCGGTCCATAGAAAAATGGTTCGTGGATTTTGCATTTGTTATAAATTATTCGCATAATGCTGAGAAAGTCAGTGAGGGTATTTTTTATGTCCATATGATAAATTAAGCTGTATTTCTTATGAGGGAACATGAATATGTTTCACTATTATGTATGCACCAAGTTATACGGACACACAGCTCATGTAGATTTAAATTATAGTGTCTAACGTTGGTATATTTTTCTTTCCTTAGTATTGGCATGCTTCCCAGTCCTTTAACGCTGAGATGCATGCTTGGGCACTCACTAGCTCCCTGATTAAATGTTCCAGGATTCTTTGAGCAGAAAAAAAAATCTAATTAGAGGAACTACTTGAAATGCGTTTCTTCCCCAGCCTGTGGAACAGCATCATTTCTTACACAGAACCAGAGTAAAGATAGATAGTACATTAGTGGATCGTTCTGTTAGCATGAACTGCTCTTCATAAAAGCACCTGTAGTTGTGTTGCACTCTAAATGTCAAAGTTGAGTGACTGAACACCTCAAATAGCCATGTGTTCAGTGTGCACTGTCTCCTGACTTCAGACTCTGCTGACATTTAGAACCTAGGGGATGTGGGCTGGGAGGCTCTTTAAGTTCCCTCTTCACTGGGTGTTGGTATGAGGCTGCTTCGCTTTATTCTCTCATATTGTGGCCATTAACCACCTCTATCATTGCCATCTTGATTTAAGTCTGGTAGAATTTCATATGTGATCGGTACAATGCTTGTGGGCTGTTACAGTCTGCTAGTTCTACAGCTCACAGTAGGAGTTGTGTGGAAGCAATTCCAGCAATCCGTGCTTGTCATTGTCAAAAAGCTTATCGATGGAAAGGCTCATTTGTAATAAATTTTTGCAAGGCAGTAGTGGCTTACTGTACCTAAGTGTCATTCAGTCACTGTGTTAAATCTTACTTATAAATGAGAGATGTAGCACAAGGCCAATTTGTCTGCCTGGAGTAAGTTGTGTACAAGTCTGCAGTGCCTCCTTAAATGTGAAGGTTTTCTTTCTGGAGAGAATGTAAGCTTGCCTAGCATAGAGGTCATTTGGGGACAGGTAGTAACATCACTAGGTGCCTTTCTGCAATACAACATTACCATTTGGTGGGAAAAGTAAGAAATATCCATCATGAAATACAAAAAATTGAACATGGTTGAAATAGATTTATGCTGATATGGTCTAGGGCTTAAACAACATTGCTGTGATATCAGAAAATACAAAAAGAAAGTTTTCAGGTAGTTTCAAATCAGTTATCAAACTTTACTGCTTTTGATATCAAAAAATTGTTGAAATAAAACACTTTGAATAGAATTAATTTTTGTTTTAATTGCTGAAACCTAGAATATAAACCAAGGTCAGTATCCGAGTAATTATGGTAATGTGAATTAATTCATACTTGCATCTGAGTCATTCTTTTATTTCACACTCGCAGATGCGGACAGAACTGTATTTTCTTTCATCTCAGAAGAATCGCCCCAGCCTCTTTGGAATGCCACTGATTGTTCCTTGTACAGTTCATACACGGAAAAAAGACCTGTATGATGCAGTATGGATCCAGGTTTCCAGGCTGGCTAGCCCTCTCCCACCTCAGGAAGCTAGTAATCATGCACAAGACTGGTGAGTTCGGCAGCCCAACCGTTGATTTGAACTACATAATACAATAGCTTAGACTTGTTTACGGAATTTTAAAAATACTCATTACTTCATTGATTTTAACTTCTCATAATAGCTCTATTGAATGGAGATATGCTTTTAAATGTCAACAATTTTAGGAACAATTTTGTGCAGTTTTTCCTCAAATGCTTTCTGTCTGCAGATTCAATCTAGTGGGTTCTTTTTCTAAGAAGTGACTTTAGAGTCCTACAATTTTATGACAATAATTAAAAATACCTTTTAATGCCTTTTAGTATAGTTAAATATAGTATTCCTTCCAGGTGCACTTAAAGATAGGTTTTACCCAAATTAATTGGCTCATTCTCATGCGTTGATTGATAATTCATTATATCCATCACATGGAAAAATAATTGAACAGTCTGTCCTATGATAACATTTCATGTATTTAACAATTAATTACTACATTGTTCATTCATCAGTATGCCAGGGAATTTTGACAATTATTAGTAGCTGTGAACGTGACTCTAGACTAACTGATTTTATGTAGTCAATTTAAACCAGCGAGCCTGTGTCCAAGTTAACTGGGCTAGAAAAGAGATACAGGGTAGGATGTTGTACTGTTTCTTTCAAAATCAGTGAGTGCATTACTGTTCATTTTCTGTAATTGCCACTGCATGTGGCAATTTTTTGAGTGCCTTCAGAAGGCATGAGGCAAGGGTCAGATACTACATGTTTGCATTATTTTAGTTTTCAGAACATTATATGAAGAAGTTCATTTCCAAAGCAGGAGGAACTGCAGTTGTTTAATGGATTTCCATTTCTATTCCTCTGCAGTCATATTAGTGTGCTAGTAAAATGAAGTAGTACTGATGGTAGTATGAAAATGTGTGACTGTGCCTGCTAAAGCTTTAAATATCCTTTTTTTTTTTTTAATAGCTCAGTGGTGATCCTGATGAGTAGACTTAAAGCTAATGCTATGATATGTGTACTTGGAATTTAGGTGAGATAAAGGCAGGTCTTATTTCAATATCTTATGTTTAATATTCATTATCATTTGGATTTTTTAGGTGTTTTAGCAAATAGAGTGAAGGAAGGTCAAAATTAATTGGCAGTCTGAATGAATACCTATGTTTCATGTTGTGTTTTCTTCTGTTTCAGTGATGATAGCATGGGGTATCAGTATCCATTCACTCTAAGAGTAGTTCAGAAGGATGGAAATTCTTGTGCTTGGTGTCCGTGGTACAGGTAAATCGTCCTTTTTAGATTTAAGGAAAGGAATCACTTCAGCAGAAATGTAATTTATGGTAATGGGTTTTTGATACGTTTCAGACTTCAGAGGTAATATCAATAAGGATCTAGAATCTAATTTAACCAAAACCCTCACATGGCAGACTTTCACTGCAGAATAGCTTTTATGACTTGGAGAGCTGAAAGCCCCGCTGACAGAAACCTTAAATTAGGAGATAGACAGGAAATTATCAAAAAAAACTCTTAACCCCTTACAATTTTCTGTGTGCGTATGTGCCTACATGCAGGCACGTACATGTACATATTTGGATGATTTGTGGGGATTTCATACAAAACTAAACATTTTTAGATGTAGATCATCTCTCCTCATTAGTTTCTCTGCCATTTGGAGAGTAAGAAGTAAAGTGGACCCTAAGAGTGCGCTTGGAATTTTTCCAAAGTGTGAAGTAAGGTAAAGCCAAAAAGGGTTTGGACAGTTCACTTATTGCATCTAACATTTTGTCTTAGATTTTGCCGTGGCTGTAAAATTGAGTGCACAGAGGACAGAGCTTCTGTTGGTAACGCTTACATTGCTGTAGACTGGGATCCGACAGCACTCCATCTACGCTACCAGACATCACAGGAACGGGTAAAATTGCTACACAAACCCTTCATTGTTTGTTAATAGTCCTGGAGTACAACCTTTTTCACTAAGACTAAATTAGGAAGGCACTCCTTTTTCTTTTTCATTAGGCATTTGATTCTTACTGTATCAATTTTCTGTTAAACTAAAAGCAGTAATCGTAGAACAGTATATTCTGTGAATAAATTAGTTTCTTAATGTTACACCTCTTACGTAACCATAATGTGCAAGGAAAGCTTTTAAAAAGCCACAGCAGTGTATTTATTGCCTGTTGTGTTGGTTCTAGCCACAATATTTTACAAAATATGTTAATTTGATAGATTTTCTAAGGATGCCAGTGCCATAAACAGTTATCCATATGAGTAAATCCATTTGATTCATTGAGTCTACAAAACAGATCTAAAGGTAAATACGAGACTGAGTTCAACTGGAATAGCTATTCAGATTTACGAGCAGAATCTATAACCTTGTGCTTCATGGATGATTCTGTAAACAAAACCCAAGAATAAGGACTGCATTATTTGTATGTCTCCCTCTTCATAACTGAAAAAAATCTGCTAAAACTTAGTGCATTTAGCTTTCATCTTTAATCCTAAATATAACTATATGATGTTATTTGTACGATACTGTGAACAGTCTTCCTCTGAGCAGTTTATATGTTTCCAAGTCAGAAACAGTTCTGTCTCGCTTCAGATTGTAGAAGAACATGAAAGTGTTGAACAAAGCCGACGAGCTCAAGCAGAGCCCATCAATCTGGATAGCTGTCTTCGAGCCTTCACCAGTGAGGAAGAACTGGGGGAGGATGAGATGTACTACTGTTCCAAATGCAAGACCCATTGCCTGGCTACAAAAAAACTAGATCTTTGGAGGCTTCCTCCTATTTTGGTATGATATTGTTTTGATTCCTCTACAGCAGCAGAATCAAGCTGCATTGGTTACAAATTCGAATTGCTAACTACCTCTTCGTATTCTGAATAAGATTTGCTTTTGTTCACAGTCTCAGGAGGGGCATTGACTTAGTTCACATCATGCATTTCTGTACTGCAGGAAAATAGCAAACCTCAAAAGCTTTTTTTTTTTTTTTAATCTTTTTAGCTAATACCAGCAAAAGAGGGATTTTGCATTTGGTTTTGTCTGTTCTGACAGAGTTCACACTTTGGCAGTGTTTCTGGCAATGTGATCTTTTGTCTAGTTGTGTAACACCTGCTGTTGTTGGGTTTGAAACTTGGTAGGTTATTCAGAACACCACAATATGGATCACTGAAGTGAAGCAAACTTTTCCATCATTTCCCCATGAAAGCATTAGTTCCATATTTTACCAGTTTGATCCTACAATCCAAATTGTCACATATGATGTGGTTACTCCTTTTATTAATATGTGATAAAATGTGTATGCTTCAGGAAAAAAATATTTTAACAGTTAAATCTACTCACTGTGATATAATTCTTTATTTTTCTCTAACATATTTGTCTTTAGATCATTCACCTGAAAAGATTTCAGTTTGTAAATGGTCGCTGGATAAAATCTCAGAAAATTGTTAAATTTCCCCGAGAAAATTTTGACCCAAGTGCCTTTTTGGTACAAAGGGATCCAAGTCATTTTCAAAGAAAGCAGTTAACTCCTCAACTTGATGACCTTCCTGAACCACGGACCCCTCTCCAAGGGGAGTCTAAAAAAGTAGATCTGCAGATTACTTACACAGCAGAAGGAGATGCACTGAACAGAAGTCCATCATCCCTTAACACTACTAATGTCTTGAATAATATCAAAGGTAGGTAATAATTAGGGAAGATTCCAGTAAATGCTGCTACTTGGGGGGAAAAAAAAAAAAAAGTTTTATGATTTTTTTGTTTGCTTGTTTGCCAAAGCTCTGCACATTCTCTGAAATGATCATTTCTGTTGTTTGTTCTGGAAAGCTTAGTGAAACTCCACCACTTAAAAAAAAAAAAAAAATAGTGACAACAAATATTGGGACTGTCTACTTCAAGGTAGTGGTCTGGATAAAGAGTAAGGAATTTGCAACAAAAACTTTTAATAAAAATTCTAGACCATGTATTTACTTACCTTAATAATCCACATATTTTCTATTCTAGCATCTCCATCTTTGGGAAGGAAAAGTGGAACCAGCTGTCCTTCAAGTAAAAACAGTAGCCCAAATAGTAGCCCAAGGACTTTAGGAAGAGGCAAAGGGCGTTTGCGGCTACCACAACTGGGTAAAAACAAACTATCAAGTAGCAAAGAAAATTTGGATGCAAGTAAAGAGAACGGTACTGACCAGGAACAGAAATTTACTTCTGATCGAAGTGATGCTCTTACCAGAGGGCAGATTTTGGGTGGTAGCCAGAGTGAACTGTATACTGCTCAGGACAATGAGATGACTCTAGCCAATGGATATATTTGTGAACAGAATGCATATAGTAATGGCAGTATCAACGGTCAAATTGATAACCACAGCGAGGATGATATTACAGATGACCAAAGAGAAGACGTTTGTGTTAACCCTATTTACAATCTATATGCAATTTCGGTAAGTTGGCTTTTTATGCGAGTAAACTATCTTTGTGTGGCATTAATTTGACTAAATCTTTTTATTGTTTACATTAAAAAGTAGAGATTTATAAAAAAAAAAAGAGAACAAAGTAGAGCCACTGTCAGCAAAGTCAATTTAGTATAAAACTGAATGCAGCTCAAAAGTATCTGTGTTTCTTCTTCTTGAGCATGTAAGCTTAGCAAGCTCCAGGTATTTTAAAAGGAAAGAAAAAAGTGAAGTGCAGTCAGAATTAGCACCAACATTAATTGTGTGACCATTTTTAGCTTTTTTGAGATTAGAAAACAATGAGGTAAAATTCAGTGGTAAAGGAAAAAGGCAGAAAGAGGTGTGAAAGGGAGGCTGATTTTGGATCGGGCATGTTGAGCTGCCAAGCTCAGCATGCATGAGATGTTTTTGGCATATTTAATGTGCTGTTACTTCAGAGGAAAGAGGTTTTGTTTAAGAGAGTCTGCAACATTTAAGCATCTTCGGCATGTATAGATTGTCATAAACCATTGTCGCTCAGTTAAAAATCATGAATTTCTTATACTGCTCTGTGAATTCTCAGTTTTGATGTTTGATCCAAAATTTTCTTCTTCATTTTCTTCAGTGCCATTCAGGAATTATGGGAGGGGGTCATTATGTCACTTATGCCAAAAACCCAAACAACAAGTGGTACTGCTACAACGACAGTAGCTGTAAGGTAAATCATTTGTTTTTGTATCAAATAATTACTACCTTGGGTACCTAGAGACAAAGAAACTTACATTTTGTGAGAACCGTTCTTTTAAAATCATGAACGTTTCAAAAGTATTTCAGACAAATATTACATTTTTAATCTAAAGTGTACATGAGATTTTTTTCAAGTTAACATCTGTTCATCAGCTGCTGTAATGTAGTTAAGATGCTTGTTTTGTACAAAATGGAACTGTTACTAAAAATGGAAGTCCAAAAATATTTTTTCATCATGCTGGCTGTTTTGTATTCAATTACTGAATAATTAAGTTCCAATATTTCAAAGTGTTTGCATTTAACACTTTAAAAAGTCATACTTTTCAAGTAAATAATGGAACCTGATAGCTGTAATAAGGAAGACAGAAAATGTGATCCTTCTTGTAAACAGCCACTTAAAAATACCGTTTCTAGGGCAATTGTGTACATTCTGAGTTCAGTGACAGTAACGCAATTGTACCACTGCCTATTTCAGAATGTGTTTTTCTGTTGTTTTCTTTTTTTTTCAGGAATTGCATCCTGATGAAATCGACACCGACTCTGCCTACATTCTTTTCTATGAGCAGCAGGGGGTAGACTATGCACAATTTCTGCCAAAGATTGATGGCAAAAAGATGGCAGACACAAGCAGCATGGATGAAGACTTTGAGTCAGACTATAAGAAGTACTGTGTTTTACAGTAAGCAGATGATCTTCCATGGACTGTTTTGAGAATGTGAGGGATAACACCCTGAAACTTACATTTGGCAAAAATGTTATTGAAACAGATAAGCTAAGTGTAGTTATTGTACCCTGTGGTCTGAAAGCACAAAAAGAAAACCCTAATTAAATAGCAGTTAATATAAAGATAGTATTGTTTTGTTCTGTTATCTCACTACATGCTCTAAACATTTCTGATGTTAGACATCAGGCTGAGACTGCCATTTGGCCTTTAAATAAAATGGTTTGAGAAAAGCCAACTAGGACCAAATAAGAGGTAAATTTAATAGTCCAAATAAGAGCTAAACAAAGTAGTGTAGAGTTTACCAACTATTCTAACAACCCCCTAAAGCTCTCCTTAGATTTAAGATAATGGGGAAAAAATCGTAGTGTTGTCTTTGGACAACATGATATTGCTACCTCCTTTTTCCTGCAGTTTTATTGCATTTTATTGGCAAAACAGGGAAAGTAAGAGAATGGAAAGTGCACAAATTTAAAGAATGAACATCCTGAGTAGGAAAAGTTTCCAGTTTTGCCGCCACTAACGTGTCAGTTGCTTTCTTTCTGTTTGTTGGGAGCACAACCAAATTATAATTTGAGGTGAGATTAATTTCTACTCTTGAATGGTTTATTATAACTGTGTTTTCTCCACGTGTTGGCTGTGCAGATCAACAAGTTTCAGGAATGGCTTTTCTGCCTGAAGTGTGCTATCTTAAACTTTTGAGATGCCTCATTAAGAAACTTCAGGTTGAAGAGAGTAGCTGTGATTACACGCATGGTGTCTTAAAATGTGCACATTGCACAAAATGTTCCCAGCTTTTGGAAGGAAAGATGCTTGAGCTTATGTTTCATAACTGGTGTTGCTTTTAAATTTGCACTTTTAAAAATTCGTATAATTAAATTCAAAAACATAGTTTGTTTTTGTTGTTGTAAGGGCTCTGGAGTGAATGGCTGTGAATTATCCACTGTGTATTTCAAACAAATAAGAAGCTGTGGTTGTCAGGTAGCTATCGTAGCATTCATGGATTTGTATTATTTTTTTATTGATTTCTTAATTTAATAGGGTTTCTCTTTTCAAACGTTGGTTGCCTTTCAAATTTTCTTTCTTGTAACAGGTTATGCTTATACTTGCAATTAAAAAAAAAAAAAACTGCTTTCCGTGCCCTTGCAAGATGCTCCTTGGAGTCAATGGGCTTACTGCATGAAGGAAAGCCTGAGCAAGTCTTAGCAGAGACTGGGAAAGAGATGGTTATTTTTTGAGTAGGCATTTCTTTAAACATTTTCAGTGTTAAATTGTTTGCATATATGAATGAAGATAAATGTTTCACCTTTTGTTCTTCAGCTGAGTCTAAGAAGCTTACTAATTCCATGTGTCATCTTCCAAATTCTTTAGATTTCGTAGCTTCACTAACAATTGATACTTACGTCATTGATCTCTGAGATAAATTTTTGGCTTCTTTTTAATGTGTTTTACAAGAATGCCAAGCCTACCGGTAACTGTATGATTTCCAGAAGGATCTGGGTTTTATTTCCATTAAAAAAAATTATATCAGCTGATCTTGCTGTCTGTACTCTGGCAAGAACTTCCCTGTCTTTGTTGGAGGTTGTGCCTCTGTCAGGACAGCAGATGAGTTCCCACCTAAGTATTGTCTTACTTGTGAGGTGTTGCTCCCTATCCCGTTGTTGTGGTTTGATCCCGCAGGCACCATGCAGCCTTTTGCTCGCTCCCCCCACAGTGGGATGGGGGAGAGAATCTGAAAAATGGTTAAAAGCTCATGGGTTGAGATAAAGACAGTTTAATAGGACAGAAAAGGAAGGGGAGGAGCTGTGCCAGGATGAGCTGTGTTTCAGTACCAGCCACTTCAGACAGAGCTCGAACCCCTTCATACACTGCCAGTAGCTCTTTCAGCTACAGTTAGGCCTCAGAATCCCCAACTCCAGAACCCTAGGGCTTGGCCTCGGGTCTTCCTGGGCTCTTTCTGCCAGAGGCTCCAGGTGGGGACGTTCTCCCCGAGGGCCCCTCCAGTCCTGGTCAGAGTATTCATCACTCACTTCTTTGCGAGTGATAAACCCAAGCCTTTAGGGCCTAGGTAGATTTTCCATCCAAATTCCTCATGTCCTCTCCGTGGTTGTGCAGGTAAAACCAGGGGGACACGTGGTGTGTACCCCCATATCCCCCACTTAAGCAGAGCAATGCTTACTCCTAATAGCTGAGTGGCTTCCCTGCCCTCTGATTGCAGGCTACAGCTCCCGCTCTCCCAGTGTCAGAGCAGCCAGGTGTTGATGTGTTAGCCTGGATGATGGCTGAAACCCTTTGGGAGGTAGTTGCAGCTGACTCAGGGGTAGGAATTGGGTGTCTGCTGCCTTGTTTGTGAGGTCTGCCTCTTCCTCGTGTTCCTGTGGTAGCCCTGCTTCGGAGCAGTCTGCCTCGTCCGCTTCTTTCGCTTCTTAGTGGGAGTTTCTTCTCTTGCTGAACGAGCTAACTCCTGTGTCCATTGCTGCTTCTTGAACAGAGGAGCAGCTGAGCTGATCCTGGCACGGGCTGGTTCAGCTGCAGTTTGTGTTGTGAGGTTGGATTAGCTGCAGTGCCTGGCGTTTTGTTGTCAGATCCGGAGACCTTCCCTTCCCCTTGCGGGTGGCTGAATCATGTTGAACAGGGCTCTTGGTAGGCACAGGCCAGGTCCCAGCACATGGCAGCAATCTGTGTCTCTGGAATCACCAGGTGACAGCGTACTCTTTCCAAATATTTTCCTAGCTTTTCAGGATTCTGCACTTGTTCAGGGGTGAAGTCCCAAAGTGCTGGAGGTGCCCACTGCCCCACGGACCTCCCGGCCACTCCTAACTATGCTGCCTCCGGGTGGCATTCCTAAATAGCTGCTTAACCTTGAACAAAACAAGAAACGTGTTCAGGAGACGTAGCAATAGCAACATGATGGTTTGAACATCCCAAGGTTATTCGAAATTCTCAAGAGATATTGTGACTAGCCTGGAGGAAAAGGGGAAGGGGAAGGAGAAAAAGAAGGTGAAGAAGTGTGGGGAAAGTGTCTCCTTTGTCTCCCCCATAGATTGTCTCTCTAGGAAAGAAGGTAAAGAATATAATTATTTATAGTTGCTGAGAGATGGTTCCTGAAGTATGAGTATGATGGTAATGTAGAGTACAAATACCAGATTAATCTCACAACCAGTGATTTTATTGCATCATAAGCCACTGTTACGCAGTACAGCAAAGTGATAACCTCAAACCAGCCCCCAGGGATGTTCCACAGGCACAGGGAGCGTAGGCAGCAAGCGAGGTGTTACACAGCACGGCTCTGAGAGCAAAAATTCCAACATTCTGACCAGCAGCTGTTAAACTAATACAACGCTTACACCAATTTTGTTTTAATGTGCTCTGGTCAGCTCTGTCATTACCTCAACCCTTCGTGCCCCACGTCGGGTGCCAAAAGGACGGCCGTGGTTTAACCCGGCTGCCAGCTCAGCACCACGCAGCCGTTTGCTCGCTCACCCCACAGTGGGATGGGAGTGGGAATTGAGGAAAATAAAATAAAAAAGGTAAAAGCTCATGGGTTGAGATAAAGACAGTTTAATAGGACAGAAAAGGAAGGGAAAACAATAGTAATAATAGAAAAAAGCCTGTAAAACAAGTGACGCGCGATGCGATTGCTCACTGCCTGTCCCCAAGCAGTGGCTGCACCCCCCGGCCAGCCCCCCCAGTTTTATGTTTGCAGGACACTCCTGGTACGGGATATCCCCGGCCGCATCCCCTCCCTGCTCCTCACACACCCCCAGGCACAAAGCTGAGTCCTTGGCCCTGTGCAAGCACTGCTCAGCAGCACCTAAACGTGGGGATTTAGCAGGTTGTTCTCATCCTAAATCCAAACTGCAGCACCACGCCAGCTACTAGGAGGAACATTACCTCTGTCCCAGCTGAAACCAGGACACCCATACACTCTTTTATCTTTAAAGTGGTCTAAACACTGAGACAGAAGAAAGGCGCAAATTGTGAGTTTGTAGGTTAGAAGGTTTTTTTTCAGTTCCCGTTTGTCTGTTCCTCCCTGCGCAAACTCCATGAAAAGTGAAAGATTTTCAACTGATTTTTACTTTAAAATGTTTTATTTAAGCAGGTAGCACAATCTACTAATGTTATTTGATCTTTTGTGTTTGTTACATTGGTTGTAATTAATTTTTTAAATTAAATTAATTCATGATTTAGTAGTAAATTTATTAAGTTAACTATTAACTATATTCACTTTGTAAATTATTGTATAAAACTTATTGACAATGCACTGACTTTAGAAAGATGTTAATGTACATAAATACCTTGTAAATAAATAGTGTTGATGTACTGGAATATGAGCTGTATTAAAAAAGGTATCGGTAATTGTATATGGAGTGAACCTGTTTATCTGTAACTATATTATTCAAACAAATTAAATACTGTGGATGCAGATAAAGTGTCACTTCTTGTCAGATAATTTTTACTATTTTTTTTGTTATGAAATTTCTGTACTGTTTTCATTAAGCTTAAATGTATTTTTCTATCCCAAAGGTTGAAACGTGTAAGCATACAGCAAGTCTTTGCAATTTGTCCTGTATTGCTCTCAGCAGGTCTGAAATATCTTTGCAGTTACTTCTACATTTTAATTTATTTTAGTTTTCCTTTTGAGGACATTCTGATTGGTTTTTAGAATTAGTCCATTTAATCATATTTAAAATGTGAGCCAGTATACATGAGAGAAAGAGAGTGAGAGCGACATCTCTCTCCTTCTTAGCAATAAGTCTGAAGAACCAGCACACTGAATTGCATTTAATGAAATGGTTCCCTCATTTTTCTGTGCTGTATTTTTGGTAGACCTGAAATGAGATCAGTGATGACTTGAAAGCACAGGGGCTGCACCTGGAGATGCTAGTTACCTACTCCTGAGAATCCCTGTGTAGGTTATTAAAGTAGAAAAAAAAATCAGTCTTTTTTAATATAGTTTTATTTTTGTTTGTTTAGTTAGGCAATTAAAACTCAAGCTGTAAAGGATCTGCTGGGTCTCATACAGTAATGTCTCCTTTTGATTTTAACAAAGAGTAGATAAAATAAAGGTTTTGCTTCAAAATGTTCCGGAAAGAATAGAATTATAAGACAATTATGCAAGGATTTCTATCACTTGCGAATTTGATAGTAAGTCAAGACAGCTTTCAATGGCATATGCTGAATTTTTCCTTCAATTGGCACCGTGGCCATGCAGTGGTGCTCAGCACCACGGGGTGGCAGCGCTGCCTGCCCTGTCCAGCCAGCAATTTCTGAAAAAACTCTTCATGTTATTATGGTAGAACCTGAAGTAAATGGTGCTTAGTAACTTTGTACCTACTTGCTTAGTGCTTAATTTAATTACTTTTGTATAATTGATCATAGACATTTCAGGTTGAGCAGAGTACCCGTTTCCATCAGGCAGAAGCAAAAGGAAACAATTCGTACAAAAGATATACAAGCAAAAGGAAAGAAGCAAGTTTTAAAAAAAAAAATACAGTTCATAAGAACAGGCCAAAAAATAACAGGTCCGTACTGTGCTGTGTAGGTGTTTGTTCTTCAGATATTAGTTTGCCTAGGTGGAGAATGAAGCTGCAGCAAAGGAAATTCTTTCCTGTAGCTAAAGGAAGAGAGTCACATGCTGTGGCACAGGCAGTCATAGTTTCCTCTCATTTTGTTATGTAACCTGTTACGTCTGTAAAATCACAGAATAACTTGGGCTGGAAAAGAGGAGGTCATCTGCTCCCTCCAAATGTTACAAGTAGGCCTTGCTTCAGGTATTGTACCAGCTCCCTGTATTGTGGACGTGGTCAGTACAAGGGGTGATGTTTTCCGTTACCTTTTCCTTTTCTTTATGGGTCTTAGCAAGTGTGTTTGCTGTTATGCACCACTAGCTCAGTAGGTTGCCTTCTTTTCCAAACAGTTTATGAAGGGGAAAAAAACTTGAAACCATCCTCAAGCTCATCTTATTTCTTCAGGTAGTACTAAAAAGTGGAATTTCAGGTAAACAGAGGCTGTGAATGGCTCTTTAGGAGCATGCACTTCATCGTGAATCCCAGTTAACTACTAGGTTAATGCTAATGGCAGAAAGTCCTTGGGAAAAAATGCACAGCATACAAAATGATCTTAATGTGGTAAATTCTACCAGGGAGCTGGCTTGTTTGATGTGCTGCTGCTGGAGGAAGCACTTCTTTCATGTGTCAGATCCATAACAGAGATTTACAAAGAAAAGATGAAGAATAATTGAGAAAATAGCCGTCTTTTTACTCAGTTGAATATTAGATTTTCTCTAGAATCTTGTTTACTATTATTATTTTAATGCATGCCACTGCCTTTCAGATGTGCCCTACTGGTAGGTTCTTAGATGAGGCAAGGCTTCAGATTAGTAACTGGAAAGTCATAGGGAAAAGTCTTGTTTAATCACTGGAGAGATAACAATGCTGAGACAAACTTACAGGAATAAGAGGTCAGAATTCATCCTGGTGTTGTTTGGATATGAATTTGTAGATGGATTTCACTTTAGAAGTGAAATAAAACTTCAGAAGGGTGTGGATGCACACCCTGAAACCATAACTCTAATAGCTCTAATAAGCAGATTATACCTGAACTGTATTTCCATCCTAAACTGTTCTGTTGTTTCCAAAAGGTAGGCTCTGTATTTTCTCAGCTCAATCCCTTGTTCAGTAGCGCATTTTAATAGCAATTACATTTATTCTTAGACAACAATCCATTTCGGAAGTGAAATGATCTCTTTTGTACATGCAGGTTTTGCTCTTGGAAACGGAGCCTCTGAAACAAGGAGCTTTGAGTACTTGGTGTACAGTCTTGGCGTACTGTTATGTTCCAGCTACTGCTTCCACATCTATGAGCATTTGCTCACGTATTTTCTTGACAATATATAATGTTGAGACATTTCCTCTGAGCAGACACTGGCAGTATGAGACATACTGCAATTAAAATAATGTTTTTTTTTTTCCAAAAAGGAAGTTAATCTGGTTGAGCTGGCAACTGGACCAAAGTCCGGAGTAATCTGGCCTATCAGGAGTCATATATCATTTGGTGTTTGTTTGTTTTTTGAATGTTTCCAACAATATTGTGGTCATGTTTAGCTGGAAATGAACTATTCTTATTTTATGGCCCTTGAGCTAAATGGATATCTAACCAAGGAGTAATGTGCATCAGTATCACTGAGGATCTTCCTAGGATGGTACCTGAGAAGCTAGCGTTTCCGTGGAAATGAAGCAGTCTCTTGCTGTTATTTATCAGGTGCAATTGGAGCATTAAATGATGACGCTTGCTCAATGCACTTGTCCTTACTGCCTAGTAATAAATTTCTGGTGCATTCATAACACTTCTTTTTCACAAGTGCAAAAATTCACAGTGATGTTTGAGTCATTTGTGCGTTTTCAATGTTGAATAACTACTTTGAACCAAAGAATAGCATCTCTAGTTGCTCCTGTTGTGAATTTCTCTTATTAAGGCTTTTAGGTATTGAAAGTGAAAAAATAATCTAGGTACCTAAGATGTTCAGATGTGCTATTTTCAGTAACAAAGCTCTATTCAATTTTGAAGTCTGAATTCACCAAACCCCATCTTGCCGTGGTGAAGTGACCTGTGCTGAAGTTCTGCCCAGATCCCTCTGTGTGTGTCTGACAAGCTAAAAATACGTGGCCTATGCTTGAAGGTAGGCAGACAGCCTTTCTTCAAAGAGCCAAGTCCAAGAGGTGAAGGGCGTTTGGTCTTTCTCCTGGGAGGGAGAGGGAAAGAAGCAGAAGGGGAAGTACCTTCTTATGCAAATACTGTTTCCCTCAAGCTGACAGCCTGACGGGAAGCACGGAGGTACCAACTGCTGCGAATGCCCTGCTGCCAAAAGGAGCTGACCACTGTCACTTTCTCCTAAATCTTAAAAGCCCAAAGTAATTTTTACCTTTATTCAATTGTTTTCATCTGTTCTGGAGTTGCCAGTTATGACTGGAGCATATCCTCTTGGTCCCTGCACTCCCTTCGGTTGGCACAGGAGGTTATGTCACTGATTTTCTCTGTATAGACCATTTGTCCATTACCTGCAGGCTGGGGCCATTAAGTGTCCTGAGAAAGCGCACGGACTGCAGGCACAGCTGCCCCCGGCTGGCTGAGCGCCCACAGGATCAGCGTATGTATTAATTTCAGCTTTTGTTATACTTTTTTTTCCCTTAGGTCCAGTAAATGGAAGCAAGAAGTTAGTAAAATGCAGTCATCCATGCTTGCTGATTTATCATTTGATGACAATAATCCTGACAGAATCTTGGAAGACCGCGCCTTTTGTTTGGGACCTGCCTCCAGCTTCCTTGTTCATGTGTAAAAGATTTCCTGTTGCTGAAAATTAAAAGCAATGTTTGATAAGGGCTGGTCAGCAAAATCAGCCACAAACTAGATTTTAATATTAAGGATATAGATATTAATATTAGTATTAATATTATATAGATATTAGATTTTAATATTAAGGATATAGATATTAAGGATACTTTGAGATTTGATTTAAATCTGTATTTTCTGAGCATGCTTGTAGAATCGAGAAATGCTGCTCTTGCTGACAGTTTATCTCTGCATGAGTCTCAGTAGCTCACAAAGAAATTAAATAAAGCAGATGGGTAAGATAGAGGCACCCAAATACCCTAGTTTTTGCAAGTTAGTTTTGTCTGTCCAAACAGTAGCAGTAGGCTCTGAGGCCTAACAGATCTCTAACAGTTAAATGTTTTTAGATGTATTTGAAGCTGGCACCCTGCTGCAACTTTTCGGTCTAATTAACATTGCGTAAACTTCCATGGAAGTTATTACTTACTTCATGGTCAATATTTATGGTCAAACAAGTGGTATTCATATGGTTTGAAGAAGCAGCGTGTGTTTTTTTGCCAGTAATAGCACCATGCATGACACAACAGCAGTCCTTGAGAACTCTCTGATTCTGATATTCTTCCTACTCTGTGGGTGCAAGCATCGCTGCAGTGGTTCCAGGTCTTTGTGTCTGTTGCCAGTATAAAATCATAAAAACAGAGCTGAGAGAATGTACCTTTACCTGGCTTTCTGAACCTTGCATTCTAACTTCTCACACTTCATTTAAAAGTCAGGACTACAGAGCAAACTGATGTGCTAAGATGGGTCACATACTGCTTTTGCTTGTCAGAGCTCAGGTAGTTCCAGCCTCAGCAATAAATAAATAAATACAGCAGCAGGTGCTTCATTTGATCCCTGAAAATATAGGACTTCTTGTACTCGGTAAGCAGTGTCATTTATTTTAGTATTGTTGAAATTATTTTTCAGCATCAGATTTTTATTGGGTGCAAAGTACAAATGAGATGGCTTATAGAGCTCTCATGTGAGATGACGATGCTTTCTGGTTTGTAGAAATAGCAGAGCCAAACTGCTCTGCATATTGCCACTTTGAACATTTTCAGTGAGTGT